AGAATTATATAAGAATGGCCCAGTGGAGGCTGCATTCACAGTTTATTCGGACTTGCTAACTTACAAAAGCGGTGTGTATAAACATACGGTTGGGGATGCGCTGGGCGGACACGCTATTAAAATTATGGGTTGGGGAGTTGAAAACGGAAACAAATATTGGCTCATTGCGAATTCGTGGAACTCCGACTGGGGTGATAATGGTTTCTTCAAAATTCTACGTGGGGAGGACCATTGCGGTATCGAAAGTTCTATTGTCGCTGGAGAACCACTGTTTAAATAATTTTGATGAACTTTAGCGAATTTGTATTTATAAGAGAGAAATAAAACATGTTTCTTTTAATTTGTATTTATTTATGTTCCTTTACTTTTCAATTAACTATAGCTCCAATCAATGATTAAAGTATATAGAGATTTATGATAAATATTAATAAGGAAAACATATTTTATAACGCAATTGATTTTCTTTATTAGTATAGTAAGACATGGAAAATATTTATAAGACTGCCAGTAACGATGCATAAAGTAGATATGATAACCCAACAATCCGCGACCATTGACCCGATTATAACTAATGTTATATAAATCTTTACTACAATTATTCGAAATAGAAGTAAATATAAGAACGGTATTATATCGTTTATTTGCAAATATACTTACATACCTTATATGTAAATAAATTTATTATAGATCACCAATAAAATAACAAATATATTGGTAAAAATTCAGCCGTGCGTAAATACACAAATGCCTAAATTAAGCAAATGGACAATTGTGGTCGTTTCTCTTAACTAGACTTAACAAATTAAACTTAAATTAAAAGTCTTATTTATATCCAGGCACAAAAAATACTCAGATTGATGGTTGATACAGTAGGTACCTACAGATACCTGACAAAGTTGACATTGATTTTTGGTTATACCACGTAGTTCAACAACCAATTCAAAGACTTCCTATGCCTTTACTATTCAGTACATGTTCCATCAGAATGTATTTATTACAAATCCAGAAAACTTGCGAGTTCGTTGCCATTTTAAATCCAAAGGCTGTATTAATAGATTTTACGATACAACTTTGTGTTGGTCAAAAGCTACATTTAAATTAGACTCGTATTTTGTTTACTAAGTAGATGTGAGCTATTAAAACAGTGCTCATGTATTCGTTATGCGATTAAAGAGATTTAACTCGACGCTTCCCAGACCGCAGCGTGTTGAAAATTTTTAATGCAATGAGAAATACTTTCATGTTCAGCTTACGGCTTACGATTTTGTTAGGGGCCCGAAATAATGGGAAATACATGTGTCACAAACATCTGGTATTAAAACCATAAACACCTTTGTCAAATATGATTTGAATTAATTTTGTATTAACGCCCTATCATGCAACTTTCTAAATAAATGATGTAATCATTATAGAACGCCGAGTTAGTATGGTACTTGTTGCCATGGTAACCATTCTTGTAATATGGAAAAAGCATCGTAACCATGGTAACAAAGACGGTACTAACTGTAATCCAAATTTATTACTATATAAAAATAAGTCGGGTTTTCCTTCCTGACGCTATAACTCCAGAACGCACGAACCGATTTCTTCGGTTTTGCATTCGTTGGAAAGGTCTCAGGAAAATTCAGGAAAATTTCAACAGAAAAGCGGGATCACCAAACGAAATGTTACATAAAACGAAGCAATCTGGTGGCGAAACGGAGTTCGCCGAGTTTGCTAGTTTATTATAAGAATGTTGTCGCTGTATTCAAGCGATATCCTTTTAATGTTTTAATCTTATTTCTAACCCTTATAAGGACACAATATAATCGTTTGTATTCTGTAAATATACTTTCGATTAATATTGAAGTTAACCTTCGGCCCGTAAATTTTAACAAAACGATGGAAGCAACAACTGATATAATTATGAAATTTGCAATAAAGGTTAACGAGAGTAATTATTAGAATACAAAATTAGAACGGTTTATTAACATATGAATTTTTATACGTAAAAAGATTAAACGTGTGTTCGCAAATAAAACAATTTTTAATAACATGTCTTTATTTCACTACAATTATTTTTCTTGTTTAAAAAATACAGAGCATTTGCTAAACTGACCATTTTAATATCATCAAATAAATGTATTTATCATAAAACCTTTGTAAACTATTATTAGGGCAAAAGTCAACATTCTGTATTTTTAAAAACAGGAAATATTCAACTCTTATTATTAAAATAAAACTAACCTACTATATCACAAAACTGACTGACGTACATAAACAAATTATAACACGTTCAACGAAATTAAAAGAAATTTTGTAAAATATGTAACGTTTAACAAAATTTGGTACAAAATAAATACAATAGCCAACAAATACAATGGCGAAAAACCAAGCGCGGGAAAATAATTGTCATTTTGATATTCAATATGGGCTACTGACATTTGACAGAATTACCCTTTTCCCGCCTTTTACCAATAAAAAAAATCAACTAAAATATTTGCACGTTTATGTCAGAAATACCTTCTTTAAAGCTACGGTTTCCTAGAAAAGCAGTGCGTTATCTAACGGCCGTAATGTAACGTTGGGTGACGTCACCCATACGTTGTCAATAAATAACATCGGAATAGGTTTTCTAGAGAACTTTGAGTGTCACCGTAACGACAGATAGCGGTGATGTCATTTGCATGACGGCTGTCATAGCGGTGATAAACATTAGTTCAACGTTTTTCGCGTGTAGCGGTGCCCATATTTAATTAATATAATGAGTGGAAACGTGACTTAGACGAGCGAAAATGATTGTTTTTTTTGCATTAGGTATGTTAAAAAGTAAAGATGGCCGTTATTAACAACCGTAAAATGACGGCCGTTAGTTAACGGCACCGCTTTTCTAGGAAACCCAAGCTTACGACAGTATAGTATATATTGTTGGCACGGCTTCTATTGAAATTTGAGAAGTCATTGTTAATATATTTTCTCCTTGTTTCCATATTCATTGAATAAACCTCATACAGGAACAGTATTTTATTGTATGAAATAAAATTATAATCGAACCGAATTTACAGAAATATAGATTTCATTATCGACCTGGCCTAATACGCAATTATGAGATCAAACAGCCCAGGGTTATAAGACATTAATTTCCATACAAAAACTTCGATATCGTTAAGTGTTGACATATTTGGGGCGAAATTTATTTTATATAGGAAACTTTATGACCATGTATGTGCCTGTTTATATATGTACATCTAATTTAATATAATCTATCATAGCTATTTAAAATTTTCATAAGTCATGAAAAGGTTATACTAGTTTCTGTTATCTATTAATTTAACTTTTGAATTAATGAATAACACGGATAATTTAAAAATGATGAAGTCTTAGCTTCTCCATTTGAACATAGAATAAAAATAACAACAAATACTGATAAAAATAAGTCAAAAACATAGTGTGAATACCTTTGGAAACAACAATTAAATATCAGAGCTTTATATGAAATTATTTTATTTAATAATAAGAAACTTCTCCGTTTGAATTGATGTTCGGATAGTTTGTTCCGTTATGTCACCTCACCATCATAGAGCCAATAAATTTGTAAGTATTATATTTACCTTTTTTATAGAACCTATTTAAAACATATAACATGAATCAGTATGTCAACCTAATCAAGCCACACTGTAACTAGATATTTTTATTTATACAAATCTGAAATTATTACGAAAGGAATGATAGAGACGCTTCATTTTAATTGGTCGCTACTGTTGGCCAATCACAATCGCGATTTGTCATTCGTCGCGATTTGGTCGCACTATTTTTGTAACGTGCACTAATGCTAATACCATAGTAACATTTCATTTGTAGTATGAATTCATAAGCATATGTCATATTCATGACCATTGACATTAGCTTGTTTTATTATTGGATATTATTTCTGAATTTGATTAATATATGAATAGTTAAGAAAGTACAGCATATATTATTAATTACATAAAATTTAGTTTTACATATTAGCTTATATACAAATAAATTACCGATCTATATGCCTAAGAAATTATAAAAAAAGCAGTGAAAAAAAACCTAAAATATTCGTTTCAACGCAGTATCCGGTTATAACATTTCAAAGCAATAACAATTGCGTATAAAAATAGATTATCTTATCTGATATAATACCAAGAGCACTACAATATAAGTTTCCACAACTTGCTTTGATACTTACTACCAACAAAGACAAATGAATGAATAATACGAAATTCAAAGGGAAATAAAAATATGGGAAACTGGTCAAAACATCAAAAGCGTCTAAGTTACGCCTATGTTATAAATTTAACACATACAAATTATCTCCTAAAATAATTCATGAAAACTAAGTCTCATTGCACTATTGGCCTCTTTCATCTCTTTCTGACTTATTGTGTTTTCGCTGTGATGGAAAAAGACAGATATGTACTTTAGTGAAAACGGTGCAATAATAATTATTTTTACATCAGTGTACCGTCCCAGAAATTATAGAGCTTTGTAGTTTTTATTTCATTTGTTCATATTAAGTATCAAGATTATTGTCTAACTATAATGACGTTACATTGTTGTCTATGTAAAAAATGAACACTGCAGCTATCTTAAACCCCACGACGGCTCTGTCTTTAGACACTCTAAGAGGGGCTTGTTTGTAATTTATGTTATAAATACTAATAATTAAATTGGAAATTAGGCCTCAATATAATCCATCCTCGACTGGCATTATATTCATCCAGCAGCAGCAAACACGCGGTACCTTTTTTAGAACATGACAAATTAAGTTATTAAAAAAAATTCAATAGATATTGCTTAGACCTTGAAAGGACTTAAAAAGGCCTTTGATTCTATGAAACACCAATTATACTTAAGTGGATTTTTTTATTTTATATTCCAAATTCAATTTAAACTTTCTTCTTTTATTTCTTAGGAACATATAAACGAGTAGTACTCACATGCATTCATTCGTCTTAATAGACAAATCCAAGTTTGAACCACAGATAAATAATTCACATAGAGTGGTACATCGTATCCGTTAATGGATCTGTGTCGTCTCTATGGAAATTAAAAGCGCTTCGAAAGCTGTCCCGAAGTCGTTCAGCGAAAGTTTTGTAATCAAAGTTCACTTGCTGACCGAAGTCGAAGTCTGCCACTTCTATTGTGTGACTGAAATTTATAAAATGTTTAAAATCAATATTATGTTTGAAAAACGGTCAAGTAATAAAAAACGAACTGCAATTTACACACAAATATAGAACAAAAGAAAACTACTTGACTTGCCAATTGCATTAACATTTTCCTAATTACATAGACAAGAGGAATTACTTTACATATTCTTCGTGGACAAATTATATTTTTTGCGTTTAATTGTAATATGTAGATAAAAATGTATACAACTTCTAAACGACTACATCAAATTATAATAGAAAATATAATTTAATCAAAATTAAAAGTTTTTAAAAACGAACAGATTTTAGTTTCTAATGTGTGAGTGAGTGAGTGAATGAGTCTGAGAGATCTTCAATTGACAAAATAGTGGATAGTCCTTTTACTGAGGAAGGCTATAGGCTATATAAGATCTCGCTATGATCAAAATAATGAAACCGCAGGGCATAGATTATAGAATAATATGACAGAAAATTGGCTGAATATATTTAAAAAAAACTAAAATTTGTTGTGTGCCAGTACTACACTTAGTAACAAATTCTTTACTAATGAAATATTTTTAAATCAGAAAAAAACAAAATATGTAGTACCATAAAAAATTACTAGAAAGTATATATTAGGTATTCTTATGCAACAAAATAAGTAAGCTGATAATATTTACCTAGATCTATGCTGATAGTAGGCAACACCAAACACGACAAGGATAACAGCGACAAAGGAAAATGCCACCGGTACCACTATCACAGACAACTGCGCGTGGACTGACGCTGAAATAACCATTTAATACTATTAATCCTATTAGCATAATTAACTATTTCATATTTGGGGGCCTCATATCCTAGCGGTCTTACTAAGTGGCAGCTAGATGAGGGGTACCGGGTTCGATTCCCGGTTCGCGGGCAAGTTTTAATTTAATTTAAAATTTGTTCTCGGCCTTTGGGAGGGTTGTGCGGTACCGGGCGAGTGCTTAAACCGTACATGGAGGACACGGTCGAATTTCTAAAGACAATAATGTTGTCTTTAGAATTTCGCTGGCTAATGCACAAATCGTGCCAGAGCCATTAAAAAAAAAACTATCTCATAGCTTTGAATCCATGATCTTTAAAATGTCTTGTTCCGCATCATGTTACTGAGTCTCACCGTAATTTCTCTAAAATAATCTTTTGCTCATTCTGTAAAATTGTGCATACACTGTGATGAAATGAGAACTTCAGTTGAAACAATGCAATTAGATTGATTTACTTTACTACTAATTAAAGAAGGTGGAATTTTAATCGGGAAGCAATTCCATAGGGACCCATTGAATGTGGAGTGTATTAGGGGCCGTTCATAAAATACGTTCGCATACAAGGGGAGGGTAAGGGTCTGACTGAGTGTGACACGATGGGACAAGGGGGGACGGGGGTATACGGCAACGTGACGTTCGCTGTTTATCATTATTAGAAAATCCTTGGACTTCTGAATAATAGAAAAATTATTGAAGTGAAACTTCTTTATCGGCGTTGGAAAAAAATTTACCGTCACATTTTTCCGTTACGCGCCATCTTTTTCTTGTCCCTACTATCTGTGTACTATCATTTAGAATTTATCATACTCAGCTTGGGTCTTAGTTTTTGTGACAAATATTTCTAGGGGGGGTCACAGAAAGTGTGACACAGCGTGAGAATAGGGGGAGGGGGTCAAAAAAAGCTGATTTTAGTGTGACGTATTTTATGAACGGCCCCTTTGTGGAATTCAGTGCTATTGAGAAAACTATAATAAAATTTCATGTCAGCATCTTGCTCAGAAGTTTAATTTTTTTTTAATGTACACTTTACAAATAAATCTGAGAATAATTCTTAAAACAAGATACTATATGTTTATGAATAAGATCGAAAGTAACTGAATATTTTTTAACTTGAGGAACCTGGTCTAGAAACAATTGTCATTAAAACAGATGTACAACTGCTCTCAAGATAATGATGATATATATTTTCTGGTATAAACAGTACAAAAAATAAAAATAATATTATGTACATGTAAGGAAAAAATAATAAACTAATTTTATATTACCTTTATAAATATTAATTGTTGCCCTTGACACACTTTTTCCAAGTACATTCTCAACAACAACTACAACAGTGTGTTGATCGCTGTCTGAGAAATAATGCACTAGAGGGAAGACATTTGATTCTGTCCTTGACTTGACTTTGCATGTCTCATTCCCTGTCACATTGTACTGCCCATATTTGTATATAGCACAGAAGTCAAATGGTGGTGACCCTGTGTACTTCACACGTAGGTTCAGTAAATCACCATGTTGCAACCAATTTAATCCAGTTATATTCATTGTACTAATTGGTTCTGCAAAGAATAATCTATGATGAGAATTGAAACAAGTACAAGTACTAAGTTTTAGTTAGTACTTTAATAAACCAGGAATTCTACCAAGAATTTACCATTTATTTAGTATTTAGTCACCTGATAAAAATTGCATATTAGTGATAAGCCTGCCTGTGTTAAGTTACATACAACTTTAATTTCTTTAAATGGTAGTGTTGTTTTTGTCATATTTTATATATGTGTCGAATTATGTTATTTAAGAAACCCTGTTTTAGTTTAAAAGCACCAGTATAGTCTTTAGCTAAACTGAAATAGAGGGAAAATAGGGACATTTACAAACCATAATAAATAAACAATTAGGGTACAAACTTACCTCTAATACTAATAGTCTCCTGATAATGCCCATATGTGTATGTCTCCCCAATGGGCACAATACTGGAATTGTTACAAATGAAATCCTTGATTGCATGTTTTCTTTTTGTTACCTCCCTTTTCGCTACCTTATGTGTTGTAGGTACTGTGGTATTAATATCCATAGTTGGTTTAGGAGTTGTTGTTGTTGATGTTGTAGTAGTTGTAGAAGTGGTAGTGGTTGTTGTGGTTGTAGTAGAAGTAGTAGTAGTTGTTGTCGTAATTGGTGGCAATGGTTCATTGTTAGCAACAACCAATGCATCTATATAATGGTCTGTCATAAGATCTGTATATGTATAGTTAAGAGCAAAGTCAGTAGTTTGGTCTATAAACATACAATCAATAAACCAGTATGTTACAATTGATGATGCGTTTTGTTTCAGAAACTGCATCTCATTGTCGGGAAGCTGAACTTTGTGTTGTACTGTGTTGTTAACAGCTACATATCTATTTGATCTCACTGTATTGTTCTGTGTAAGTATCAGATTCCCATGCAGTGAGTCTGAAAATTAACAATGCACCTTGTGAAAATTATTTATATGCTAAATTTAAGTATAAAGACAAAAACAGGATCCGACAAAGACCAGACTTAGCATATAAGTACATACATAACGATTCAAATGTTAACTTCAAAATTTTACCTGTCAGAAGCACTCAACGTATCTACTTATAGTCGCAGAGACTGATTGTATGATTAATATTAAAATAAAATAAAAAAACCTGTCAGTTGAAATGTAGTGCTTCCTGACGTTTGCTTTATCCAGAGACCAAAAAAGTTTTTCAAAAGCTCCACAGTCACCGTGTATTCTCCTGCTTCATACAAATTACGCGGGTATTCTACTGTCCATGTCGATACATTAGTGTTTTTTGTAATCTGAATGAAAAATTAAAGGGTTATTTAATGATTATTCTAAATAGCTTCTGTTATATTTACGCATTGTATAAAATTAATGTACTAATATGTAATAAGTAAACACACAAAGTTGTGTACAACACAAATTCTAGATCAGACCTTGATTCTATATATTCTTAATAAAACACAATTTGCAATTAAGTTATTTCAAAATTTGTCATGACATAGTAATGAAGTACTTCATTAATTTAAAATGGGACCTTACATCTTCACGATGTTGTGGTTGAACATCGTCCCAATAAGAGAACTTGAGTTCCTCATCCGTATAACCAAGCACTGTTGCAGTAAATGTTATGTTGGATCCACGAACAACTGGACCATTATTACTGACTAAGAGTTTTAAAGAATTGACAACTGAAAAATTAATAAAAAACCTTAATGAATACATCTAAAATATTTACTGTAGTAGTTTTTATAATCACACTAGAATAGTCAAAAGTTAAATGATTTGTGTCATTTGTAGAAAACGAAAAAGCATATAAAGATTCATGATCTTTGATCAACATATTATTTTGTATTGCTTTGTTGATGCAGCTGCAACATACATGTTTTCACAGCTGAAAATTTTGCATTCTTAAGGTAATCAAAGAACATATGATGACTGTTGTACTTTTGCGCCAAATGCAACTAATGTAACAAAGGTAATTGTAATTTTGATCATACTGATTTTCATTTTAATGTGAATATTGAATAACAAATAATAGTAAAAGTAATAACTTAAATAATTACCATTTTGAATAAGCAGTAGAATGAAGAATGTATACAAACTCCGAGACATGTTTGTCTCCGATAACTTTCGAACAGTCCTACAAAACTAGATATATGTATCAATACTGTAATTGCTTCAACAGTTTAAGCTTGGTATTTTAATAAAACAATACGCCATCGGCCAACAGCAGCAGAACCGAAACATCGAAACAACAATAGAAATTGATAACGTAAAACGTCAAGCTCAAACATCGCATTGTCACATTGTTGTCAAACGACAAATTGACAACTGATGTGGGTAGAGAGGCCCAATCTGAGAAAAACAAACAATTTAAATTAATATTTTTTGCTTGACATATTATTGACGTCAGACGTGACAACGTCTTATAATTCGATGGAGCCGGCTGCACGCACGAAAAAACATGACCCATGCGGCGTTACCTCGCTCTGAGGCGTTACCTCGCTCTGAGGCGTTACCTCTCTCTGAGGCGTTACATTTAAAGTTGACATAATTGTATTTATGCGTACAAATAAATGTAACTTGATCAATTCAATTGTGATTTCCATTTACCTCCTTCTCTATATCCATACAAAATACCTATCAAACAAATAAATTTTTTTTTTATCATTTATAAATGGTTGTTGTTGATAGAGATAAGTTAGCATTTTTAATGGAAGAATTTCCAATATTCTTTGAGAATATGCGTTACAACATACAAAAAACAAATATTTCCTTAATTTTATAATATTAAATATTGGTATCGACTGGTATAAGGTTTTTATTTACATACTCTTTGAAATATCATTAAGTGCGCTCTAAAAGGTATTTAAATAGAAAATAATATGATTATATACACTTTACATAAAATAGCAAATGGCTCAGTTGACAGCTATCTATTGGATAAACTTGACATCAAGGTACCGATGCGTTCTGTACGTAACCCACAACTATTTATATATAACCCACAAGTAACAACAATTTATCCCAGAATGGTCCGCTCGCTAAAATATGCAAGTATAAAACACGGTGACACCGTGACCACGCACGCTGTAAAGCACGCGAAACGTCGGATAAATTTAAAATTATGTTAAATAGTTGTAAATTTATAATAATACATAACTTCAATCCGGTCAAAATAGTGTTTTATTAAATGAATAAAAGTTATGTTAATCAAAGACAATACTATGTGCAAGTATTATAATTCTGTGTGTTCTCATGTTGATATTTTTCACAATAGTAGTTATGAATTTAAAAAGATTATTCGCGATGCAGAGTGCAGACTTGCAACCTGGGGCCTTAGTCAAGATGCGTTAACAGTAGTGTATGTAGAAAGTCGAAAACTAAATTTGTGTGGAAATGACAGTTCGTGTCGAAAAGTTTTCATACAAATTATATACATATTATATACTGTATGTAATTGTTAAAGTATTTGGTAAACCAGCACTGAAGATTCCACTAAATGCTGTGTACAGATCTAATTGGACTTCAGGTTTACAAATAATGTTTAGTGTGTAATACCTGTATGTATTTAACCAATCTGATGTCTGTTTCTGTACCTTAAATGTAAAAAATAAAATAAATATTAAGAATAAAAACTATGGCATAGAAACTGTGGAAAATGTCCAAAAACAACCCCCATTCAATTTCTAAAAAAAATATTACAGTATTAAATTGTTGGTTTCTGTCATCTGCACTAGTCTGTGCTGTGAAATGTGAAGAAGGCACAGATCAAGGCTCAAGCACTAACCACTAACTTACTGAGTAGGAAGTACGTACTACGTAGTACAGAATACTTAGTTTTGTTTAAAGCCGGGCGCATACATACTGATTCCTGATCAGAAATCCTGATCAGGTTTCCTAATCAAGAATTCCGTGTGGAGAGCGCACACATTCTGTTTTTTGCATTCGGAATTTAAACGATCAGTTCGATCATAGACGCTTCTGATAACGCACGAGTATGGACGACGAAGACGAATTGATGCTCATTGCTCTTTTATTGGCGCTAGACAAAAAGGGCATAAAACGTCGTTATTGGGTGCATCCACTGAATACCCAAAGATTAACTGAGAGTCAATTCTATGTCAAAAGAGCAAAGTTACGGGCATACCCAGAAGAATTCTTCAAATATTACAGGATGTCAATGAAATCCTTTGATGAGCTTCATAATAGCATACGAGATAAAATAAAAAAGCAAAATACGCACATGAGATTGTGTTTGGATACAGAAGAAAAATTGACCATAACATTAAGGTATGTATGTATTTATTGTAATAAAAATTAAGATATTGTACAAACATTACGCTTTAAATTTACTTAAAGTTTAAGAATTCTTGCATTGTTCCCTCCTGTGAATCTTGAGGCTGGAGAACTATAAACTGTGTAGCCTCATTGTCTTCAACACTAGTATTTGGTATAGATACCTTAACAGGATAATCTTGCTTGGGGCTTTGTTGGGTTGTTGATTGGGGAGGCGTCACACTAGAAATTGAGTGGATAAAAATAGGCTTCCTGGTATTCTTACGGGGCACATTTTGCTGCTGCGAAGATTGATAAAAAGTTGGTGGTGATGGAGATGGACTCTGCAAATATATTGGTGATACTTTGGGCACGTGTATATTTTGATAAGATGGAACGTAAGTCGGTGATGGAGCCATTGGAAACGACCCTGAAGAATCGTCACTTTGTTGATAATAGTTAGTGTACCGGGACGTTGATGGCGATGGTTCGTTTCCCATGGTAATCTTTTTTACCAATTGAAGCATACCGACTTTAAAATTAATTTTTTGATGAGCATTCATTGTTTTCATATAGCTTCTGAAACTAAGAAGATATTTCGTGTCGTCATCTTCGTCAATATTAGCAGAAGGTTTTTTTCTGTTTTTGTTGCAACATACTTAGTATTTGATTGGGGACATCTTTCTTTTTTTTCTGACTGACTATAGGTAAAGTAGGTATGGGTGACTCCACACGATTGATTTCTTCCGGTTCAATATTTTGTTCTTCAGTTTCTGATTGTTGTTGTGGTTGAATAGATTCTGCATTTTCGGTCGGATAGTTCCCTTCTGATTTTCTACTAGCAAACACTGGTGTAAGAAAGTAAAGCAAGGAACTATAAACATAAGTTTTGGGCTTTTTAGCAGCACTGCCAGTAGGAAGATTTTTGGTTTTCTGAAATTCTTTGCGATAATAGTCTCTAATGTTGTTCCATTTCTTCTTCAATTCGGCACCTGAAATAAGTTAAAAATAAAACTATAATGCTTTTTGTTTCAGATTTCTGGCAACTGGTTGCAATTTTGAAGAAATGAAAACAGATTTTTTGGTGGGAAGCCGAACTGTGTCTGCACTAATTAATGAAACCTGTGAAGCTATTTGGGAGATGCACCAACGTTTAGAAATGAGGCCACCGTCATCAAAAGAACGTTGGATTGAAATTGCGGACAGTTATTATAGAAATGCCAACTTCCCAAATTGTGTAGGGGCAGTTGATGGGAAACATATTCGTTTGATATCTCCCCAGCGCAGTGGGTCTGCTTTTTATAACTATAAAAACTATTTCTCTATTGTTTTGATGGCAGTAGTAGACGCAGACCTAAGGTTCATAGCTATTGACGTGGGTGCTTTTGGCAGAGACAGTGACAGTAATATCTTTAAAAATTGGGCTTTTGGGAAAATGTTACAAGAAAATCGCCTTAATTTGCCTGAAGCAAAACCTCTGCCAGGAAGTAATGGCCCACCTCTACCATTTGTGTTTTTAGGTGATGAGGCCTTTCCACTGAACAATAATTTTTTGAAACCTTATCCAAGACAGAACCTCAATAATCAACGTCGAATCTTTAACTATCGATTGAGTCGAGCTCGACGAATAGTTGAATGTGCTTTCGGCATTCTTTCAAATAAGTGGAGGATTTTTCATACAAGTATGACAATTCCACCAGATTTTGCTGTTCTAATAACGAAGACAGCATGCGTATTGCATAATTTTGTACGCAGACGAGATGGTTATAATTTTAAAGATACATTGGCACATTACTTCGAGGATTTTCCATTCCGTTCTGCACGACAATCTACAAACCGAGGCAGAACTATACGAGATAATTTCGCCGAGTATTTCGTCTCGCTGGAAGGAGAACTGTCATACCAATACAATGAAAGTATTATTAATCCAAATTGATTCAACAATAAAGGAATATTAAAATACTAACATTTGTTTACTTTATATGTGCACGTTTCCCAATCCTGAATAAGATCTTTACATATCTGTTCCCAGGCCAAATCTTTCATATCACGGTTATGATAATCCGCGTGATTTATATCCCATATGCATTGGTGTTTTTCAACACTCATTATCAAATTCTCGGCTTCGCACATTTTTTTTTTTTGACAGCTGACGGAGAGCGTTTCACGTCGTACGTCTACTCGGCACAGCGCCAACGCGATTCTGAATGAAAATTTCCGTACGTGTGCGGCGATCGAGCCAAAATGTATGCGAATGCTGCGTTCGGGGTGACGTCATCAGGTTTTTTCCCGTTCTTCCAAAACGAACGCACGGAGAAATTCCGAACCGAACGTCAGGTTTTTTTCTGTCCGGAAAAAGTAAGAACGGTGTGCGCCTTGTCGAACATTTTGTATGCACGCGGACAATTCAGGTTTCCGAATCTGAAACCCTGATACGGAAACCTGATCCGGAATCAGTATGTATGCGCCCGGCTTAAGTCTACATAATTTGTGGAAGGAGACGATTTGCGATTAAACATTTTATTTATTTTCTATCATATTAGTTACAAATTTATATTGTAAAGAAAGATCAAGTGATAAAGACGGTCAATAATCATTTTACTAAACTTATAGACAAAAACCTCGTTTTTGAATATTTTGAGTTGTAATAAAAAGCATATACTTTAAAATAATCCAGAAAAGTTGTTTTAGTAAATTTACGAAACGCTTTAATAAACATTTCCTACGTTTATTTAAGCGATTTTGAAAGTTATTGTGGTATTTATTAGTGTAGATATCAAATAACCATGGAGAATGCACAAATAGTAACCAAATTGAAACTTTTATTTGAAAGAATTGCTCAACCCGCTTATATCTTGGACCAGCACTATGCCGATAATTTTTTCATTAAATTAAGCTCCAATGACCCAGGTAAGGAGAAAACTAAATTCTGGAAAACCTTGAAAATTTGTTGTAAAAGTTGAAATAATTTACCATGTAAAGATAATATAAGGTAGTAATTCCTGTACCAACAATTATCCTGATCCACAAACACATCTTTAATATCACCAATATTGGGAGCAAGCTGTATAGGCTCTAAAGAATAATGTTAATAAATTAAAATACTAGACAAGGAGAATTTCTTATTTCAGTTAAGTACTTAAAATAGCATTATTCAAGGAAATACATTGAGCTACTAGCTACTTACATTAATAATTAATAAACATTATTATTGACAAAATATTATTGTGGTTTAATGTATGCAATTATGTTTATGCATTGTTTATTTTCAGAAATACATAAAATATTTAATGGAATTTTAATTCTTCAACTTATCATAATATATATATTTTTTTGTTTCAGATGTGCAATATTTAAAATCATTGCCTATGTTGCCAGATATGTTAATAGCAGCCTTTTACCGCACAGACAATTACCATGTCACAGTGAAAGTTTTTCTTGTAAGATTGCTGGCTTTCATTACACATAACGAAGTCAACTTTGCAAAATTTAGTGCTAAAAAAGGAGATGATTTGGCTAAGGCTTTTGATCAGATTAACTCTCCTGACATGCATACAAGTTTGAGAGTAGCAAATATGGAGGTAGCCTTAGCACTTTTAAATCACAATTCTGGAGTTCATTGGTTACTTGAAACTAATTCATGGCAAAAAATATTAACACTCTGTAATGAAAAAAGAACTGTTTTTATAGTTAGACAGACTTATAAGTTTGTTTCAACTTTTATATGGAAACTTAAGAGTTTTGGTGATGATGCTAATGTGAGACATGTTCTATCTTTCATATTGAAACCTGTAATTGATGCAGATTTAGTTCAAAAACAATCAATAACAAGTGAAGAAGAGGATGAACTGTGTAAAATCTATGAACCAATGATGCAAATGTTGCTCACTATTGTGAGCAATGAAAAAGAAATCAAATCTCAAAACTGTGTAATGCATTTCCTACTGCAAGAATTTAAAATAGAGACATATTGTTATATCATGCTTGATAGATTAAGGAGAGAAGATATTTGGTTGCTTACAACAAAATTTCTATTTTGGTCAGCTATTGGTAAATTATTCCTTGTAAAAATACTTCAGCCTGGTGTTAAATTTGAGAAGGAAGATTTTATGGAATTAGCTGTCACTTACTTTAACACAATACACAGATTAATACAAAGGCGTTCTCCGAAGTTACTCTTTGACTATTGCAATGCATGTAATTTGATTTGGGGAAGGGTGTGGAATCGTGAAGAACCAATAAGATGGGACATAAATGAGAAACATATGGAAATGCAAAAACAGTTGCTCATAGTAAGTCTTGTGCCTCCATTGGTGTATGTTACTCTAGGTAAGAATCAATCCTTAGATCAGAGTGAGGGTGAAGTTGAATTGTATATCAATACAATAATGGAATCTACATGTGAACATGCAGCCCGAGCCGCCTATGCAGTTCGCAACATGATGATACAACTAGATGTTCTGCAAGTAACATTACTCAGTGTAAAAAGACTAACATTCCTTGAAAATAATTTAAACAATGAACAAGCAAATATAGTGTTTCAAGCAATGTTCTATGTAATAAAAGAGTTTGAGCCATTTGATGAAGAAGGTTTATTAAGGACGGATTATTGCTACGGAGATGAAATAGACAAGATATCAATAATGGCGTATGTTCTTGATACATTATTGTTTCTGATTAAGAACTACAATATAAATTGGAAAGAGAGCTTAGAAGTGATATGTTTGAATGCTGTTGTGTATAATGTGTTGAAGAGGCCTAACTTAAGTTGTAAAGTAAGTTATCCGACAACACATACATTTTGAGTTATTAAACCCAAAAGATTAGAACTAACTTAACTAGAATGGCTTTTTTTTCTATTGTAATATTATGAATCCGAAAAGGTTTATTGTTTTGTTGTATACATTAATCTTAGGATTGATTGTTTACTATATATATAGAGTATGTCTATAGGGTAGCGACTAACAACCCGTCTAATATTGGTATTAAAAATCTAACTTATTATTAATTTTGTTTCAGTTTGTAGTAACAGCTCTTAATGTGATATCAACCACAATAAGGAAGTCACTGACTCCAAATCTGTCTCTCCTTCTCGACACAAAGCCAGGGTCTGGAATGCATGAGATTGGAATGCTTATATACACAAAGATGCATGACCTCAACTGGGAAATAAGAGATACAGCTCTGGAGCTTCTTCTTGTCTGCACTGAACTGTCACTTATCAGTAAGTGGATTTTTTTTTTAATGCTAGTATAGAAGCATGCTAGAGTTTAACTATATATTGTTGACAGTTGATTTGAATCTTCATTTCTTAAGAAAAAAAGAATAATAAATAGGCATCTTCTTGACGTGCGTGCTCTCGTATAGGTATAACTTGGGGGTTCTCCCCCATATTTAGGGGAAAACAAGATGTCCAAGGGTTTTAAAGGGGTACTTCATTCAAGAATTATTTCTTATTTATTAAAAAAACTAACAATTTTAAAATATTATACAATTTATATTAAGCCAACCAACAAATTAAACCAAATATAAAGTCTTAGCGTGGCTGACTGAGATATCAAAAAGCTGTAATATTCTGATATCTGTATGACTCTGATATCAAAATAACAGCAAATATATGAATGTATTTTAGTTTATATTTGAAATTACCTCTCAAACCGAGTGTACAACAAATACTTTAGAGGTTTTTAATAGATATTTAGGGGTATTTGAATTAAGTCCTAGGAGGGAACATTCTGTTAGAGTTGACATCACTGCCTAACGGCACTCACTTAAGGATTGCTAAACCTCTAAACAAGTCAATGAGATTAGGTTGTGTAGTGGTATTTTGGGTCTCAAGTCATAATCTCCTATTGAGCGCTGTCAAATGTTAAATTTCATACAGAAACAATGGTCTGTCAGCTCTTTAAACTAGATTTTCAGTTTTGAGACTTGAAGTAATCTGTATGAGGAGATTAATGGTAGACCAAAAAAAATAGTAGATTCACTAAGAGCAACTCGTATCACAAATTATAAAATATTTCTTTTCCAAGAAATCTATAAAGTTTTATTTAAAACTGATATAAATTAATATATATAACCTTTTTATTTAATTGTACTTTATTTCTGTGTACTTGCAACGGATTGTTAATAAATAAATATAACTTCTTGTGCTCACCTTATCTAATTATATTTTCTCTCTCAGCCTGGAAGTGATCGCTCGAAAGCATTAAATTATTTTAATTGTAATGTATTTCTGTATTATTGCAACAAGGTGTAAATAATGATATGAATGTTTTTGCCAAATTTAGCCTTTACTCAACTACAGGAACAAACTGTTTATCGTTTTCAGAATTCCCTCCATTCCAAAAGCAGATTATGTCTCACAAGTTGATAAATGTTGCCATGACGATGGCACTCAATGATCATGAGTTCTATGTGAGAGTCTCTGCGCTTAAATGCTTGGCTGCTGCAACAAAAGTCAACCTGTTATGGGAACAAGTAACCTCTGAATTCCCCAATGTTCAGGTTAGTACAATAAAAGTTTAATGCCAAATTGCTGAAAATCGTTTTATTTATTTGTGGCGGTTTCTAATGCGCGAGTGGTTACCCATATTTTGTGTTGTATTTTATTATTATTATGGGTAAAATAAAGTGAGTAAAGTTATTTAAAAAAATGTGTGTGTACTTATGTACACGCTAGATTAGTAGATTGATTTTCAATTATTTTTAATATTAAAATCGAATACAAAAATCTATTTTCACTTTTAAAGAAAGCGATTATTTTTCACATCCCTATTAATTTTATAAACGCAAACGGCTATTTCGTATGTGGATATCGCTAAAACAGTGTGTGAACAGTCTTACAGTGCAGAATATCAATAAAAATCGATTAATTAAAAAAACTATTTTTAAAGGGAATGTCACATCTCTTATAACCAATAGAAAAGTAGAAAATGGCGGATTGTTTACAAATTTCAATACATTACACAAAACTTTAGATTAATAAAACACCTAGACGTTTCCGGCAGCAAAAATCACTTGGAGGTGTTCCAATGAAGGTCCCCCGAGACTCCTGCATAATCAGTATCATCATTCGTGCGACGTAATTCAAAACCCAACCCCTAATTTTGTACAAAAATAATCATTTTTAATTCTTTATGACTATCAATAATTTTTGACATAGATTGATTCATTGCTTGTATCGTTGTTGTTTAATACGCTTGATTTATATTTAATTCAGTAGTTGATGTGTAGATAAAACTATGATAACATTTAAGTGTGTCTATATAGGATTTTATTCGCTACATATCCGAGCCGTATTTATGGAAAGGTATCCAAATTTGTATTGCATATTGCAATATAAAATTAGTTTTACAAATTTTAATTATTCGATTATTTCTAAATGTATCAACAAACTCCATTGCTCAGTGATATGGTTCACAAAACTAAGTGCTTATTGTTCAAAGCGCTCTTTGGAGCTCGAGGGAAATTAAATACTCATTTTAAACACACTTATAGTCCAACATATAATTCATATATAAATGTAAAACGAGGCTGTGATTTCACGAATACTATTATCAAATTGTAAGTAAATTTTCATTGGCACTTGAATAAACTTCAGTGTTATAAAACGTGTTAAATAATAAAAATATAGATTAGCAAATATATCGTAGCTGCTTCAACTGTCAAAAATTTCATTATAATATTTAAGTAGTTGGAACAAAAAAGCTACTTTTTATATTGTTTATTATATATTGGGATTGTATCAAAACTTGTCTATGGATATTGCACAAAAACTATTACAAATTTTCTTAGTGTCGAAAGAAATTTTATGCTTAGATACCGCCTAAAAGCAGAGTTATCTTGTACACAAAACGACTAGATCTCTACGAACTAGCCAAGATTCTTTTCAGTTGTAATGCAATGAATATTATATACAATTAAACGTTTGTTTTGATTGAACCATTTTTAAATGGGTCAAAAGTGTATTTAAATGTAAGATTAAATCTTCTTTTCCAGGAGCTTATACTGGCGGACCTGTGCACAAATCCTGAAGGCATAGTTCGAAAAGAAACGTTCATCGTGCTCTGTGAAATATACCAGAATATAAAACTGGACTATACCATGAAAACAGCACTCTATGAACAATTTTTAAATGCCTCTCTCAGTGACTTTCATTGGGAAGTCCAAATAAGTGCCTTGAAGTTTTGGCGAGTTGTCATCCACTCGTTGCTTGGAGATCAAGGAATGTTGGACGGCACTTTTCCTCCGGTCACCTTCTCTATAGAATCCAGAAAGATTGTCACGTTAACAGACAAAGAAATACAGAAGAGATTACACAAGATATTGGACGAGCTTGCATCTATTGGCTGCTTATCAATTCTAATAAAACTCTTGCACGAAGACACTGAAGTAGAAGTGATGGAGTTAGCATTATCTATTGCTAACGAATTATTGGAAATTCTTGATAAGTACAGGGTGCCTGGATTTCTACGGCCTAGTGAAAACGATCCAAATATTGAAGAAATTTTAACAGCCGAAGATAACGACTTGGAGGAAGAAGACAGCGACACTAAGAATCTTATTAAATCTGAAGATGTTATAGAAGGCATAATTAATTCTGACGATATGAATTTGCTTACGAATATCTACGAACGTCACATGAATTTAAACAATGAACCTACTGAAATAAGAAAAAGGAAATTTACCAAATTTGCGACTCCATATATTTTTGTAGTCTATATGAAGAGTTCTAATTTTAAGGAAACTATAGAGCGTAAGAAAAATTGGAAAGACGGAATTCGGAGTTTGTCCTCTTTATTGGACGATGTGTTAGGTATTTACGAAGTTAATACTGAAGTTAATAGTTTAGATTGTTATTGAGATTATCTTCTCAGTGAGAATTTGACAAATGTAAAAATCGAATTCCGTCTTCCTACCAGTGTTATGTATTTTAAATACACATTTTAGTCTTACCTTTTTACCCTAATAAAATGTTATATTAAATTATCGACAAACTTAAAAATTATTTATTTATTTACACTTCATTACATTTATAGAAAAACAAATAACATAACACATACAAATTATAAGGGATGCAACGGGCGGCCTTATCGTTAACAAGCAATCCTTCCAGGCAAAACCCTAGTATGGAAAAAAACTAAAAAAAGAAAAATGACGGTAAAGTGCATAACCAAACCTATTAAAAAAGAATTTAGAATCACCAAACTAAAACAGACTATGATAAGCATAGAGTCATGAATTGCGATGCAATATAAAAGAATAAGAAATACAAGATTATTGTGCAGTGCAATAACAACAAGTGCTGATAAGATACACTTATCCAGATTAAATTAAATGTATAGCATTTCATATAGTAATTCATCGAAATATTAGAGAATAACTATTAAGTTTTTTTGGTTCGAGTCAATGAGCAGATAAAAAATGTGCGAATATACTTTATTTATTTGCATAAGACACGAGTAGGTACTTAGTACAGTATGACGAAGTACGAAGATATTGTGTCAAAGTGCAAACAGTACACTTGTCTGTTTACTTGTTTATCAGTATAATATGGCCTAAGTGCTGATAATAATTTATGGGGTTCGGAAGGAACCTACAGATAGTAAAGGAATAGAAATCGCGTGTAATGTAGGTACACGTTTTTGAAACAACACGCGTTTTTTCACCAATAGATTTAGTCTAATATTCATCAATGAATGTTACTCAAATTTAATAGAGTTTTATGCAGAAAATATCTCGCTTCTCCGTGGTTTTATTAACTACTGGTTAATCAATTAACGGTGTACATAAGAATGGCTTCGGTGTAGGTAAAAAAATCACACTATAAACAAATTCACTCTTATTTCCAAAACTAGCTATGCATCGCCTGCTGGGATCACCAGTGCTGATAATTGAATTAACCTAATAGGAAAAGCTATTAATTTAATATACAAATATATTTTATAATTAATATGTCGCATCATAGATTTTACTGAATACTGGTTAAGGATACGAATTCCACGAAGACCAGTTAGAAAAATACAAGTCGCAAGAAATAAAATGCGTCGGTGTTTGGATCTAATCTAAGATAATGCCTCATAATGTATGCCATTATAGTTTCTTCTATATTTAAGCAAGCGTTTGCAGGTAGTAGCGACATCTACAATCTGTGACAAGAATTAAAACGATGACATCTCATACTTGGACTTTGAAGAACCTCCCGGCTCCCGTTAGGTTGGAAACCGCTTGAAGCTTCCTCTAACCTTAATCTACATGGTATTTATTACATTGATGCGCGAACGCACATAATAATCGCTTAAAAACTAGGATAACACTGATTCAATACCTACATTTTAATTCATCACTTTAACATTTTTATCTTAGCAATTACTTGCAAGGACGTGTTTGTCGAAAGTTCGAAAATAAGGAAACAGCATTTCTATATTAATTACTCAAACAAGCATTAATTCATAATGAAACATTTACCTTGTTAAATTGAAAAGACACAGAGAAATATCCATAACGTTTAATATTGGTTATGATTTAATTTGGACTAGCAGTTGTTTGTCAGTAAACTGTATGAAGCAATATTGGTCTAAGATCCCGATATACAACGACCTTCACCGAGATGCTTATTTAATGAAACGTATTTTATATTTAATTTAATATGTCAATAAATATAATCCATATGGGTTGCCTAGCAAATTTCAGTCCAGAGTATGTTTAATTAATATTAAAAAAAAAAATATTTTTTTATAATTTGCATGTAGTAGATTTTTTTTAAATTTTTTTCAATCAATATTTTTAATCAGGGTAGTATTATATATGTATCACTATAACTTTCTTTTTTACTAAAGATGTATATATACTTTAGTGTCACATAAAAATATACACATAAATAATTCATTGATTAAAAACACCCTAACGTTTGCATATTCTATGGGCTTCATACTTTCGATTGGTATAGAATTTATCTAATAATCATACCGGTGAAATGTTTTAAAAATAATTTTTTTTTTTATTAATTAAAATACTCTGGACTGAAATTTGCTAGGCAACCCATATGGATTATATTTATTGACATATTAAATTAAATATAAAATACATTTCATTAAATAAGCATCTCGGTGAAGGTTGTTGTATATCGGGATCTTATACTATATATAAAATAGTTGCCAGTGAGTACACCAACAAAAGTAGCTACAAGAACCATGTAATATCTGACCATGTACAAAGGCTAACTCCTAACATTACTAACACACACTGTCTTGTAAATGTAATTTGGCAAAATTTTGTTTTAGGAAATGTCCTGCATGTATTTTAAGTTAGAAAAAACTCAATAGTTTAAAATAAATAGCAATTTACTTCTATACAGTAAATTTCCCAACCTACGGGCCAGCAAATATATGGGGATTCTGCTTAGTATTTTAAAAACATTTCTCATGCTCTCTCATAACTAACAAATTATTCTGGAATGAAATAAAAAACTATAATTCTATATTTTATTAACTAACTCCTAAATTATCTAAAATACAGTCTCTAATCTATCTCTATTTCTGCACCAACTTTGGTTAACGCCTCTTTAAGTTTTTCAGCTTCGTCTTTAGAAATATCAGCCTTTACTACTGTTGGGGCACTTTCAACAAACTTTTTAGCCTGTACCAAGTTGAAACCTTCAAGAAGACTTTTGACTTCCTTAATAAGAGCAACCTTCTGCTTGTCATCAAATTTGACCAATTTTACCTAGAATTAAATAAAAGGATTAAACTATAGTAAATATTATTGAAAAGAATAGTCCTAGAACAACTGATAATAAATATTAAACTTACAGTGAAATTAGTTTTTACAGCTTTGGGTGCAGCCTCTTCTTCTTCTGCTGGAGCAGCCATGGCAAAGCCACCCATTGGCATTACTGGAGCATCTGGTAGATTTAACCGTCTTTTCAATACCTGACTGAGTTCAGACACTTCAAGCAAGCTGAGATTTGTGATGTCAGATACAATTTTCTCAAGTTTTGCTGAAACTGGTTTGTCAACTCCTTCTGGAGGTGGAATTGTTAGGGGTGTGACCGCTTCTGTAACCCCTTGTTGTAAAGTGGTACTGTGAATAAACATTCTCATAAATATAACATTTATCGGAAATTAGGTATCCTTATAACCTATACGGATATTAATATTACCATTGTGAGATTGATCGCCACTGGCGAAGTGAAATTTTTCGCAGATTCCGAATGCTATTCATTTTGTAATATTTAAATGTATTTAAAAATATGTTTAATGGATTAAATTTATATTTCTGGTGAACACAGATCAGGTTTACTACTATTAAAATTTAAAAGTCTACTCTAAAAGTGGTAAGTAGGGATAAGCAAAAAGTATCGATATATTTGAGCTATCGATACTTTCTTAAAGGAATTATACTTTATCTATTTCTAAAAAAAATCTTATTTCTAAACATAAATAATATTATTAAAGGAAAATTAATAATTGGTAATCGATATTTAAAACAAATCATTTTTCCCAATATTGTTTTTGTGTGTATGGTTTGGGATCAGTCCCCCATTGTTAAATATGTGAAGTATACAGGGATATTGATGATTTGACGTATATCCTTTAGTAGTAGCATTGTAGTGGAAAAAAATATTGAAAATATGTACTCGCATTTTTAAGTTGGACCGATAATTTAAAATTAAATTAAATTGATACTTACTACTACGGTTAAAATTATCACAAATAGTCACCCCTATCACGTCCTTACGGGAATTATCGACTTACTAATAACCTTGCATAATTATTATTATTAACACTCCATTCAAGGTTTTTACTCGATACTCTTAGGTTCGATACTTTTAATACGATACGAGTATCGAGTAAAGTGTCGATATTTTTATAAACTTATCGTATCCCTAGTAGTAAGTACGAAAATGTCAAATAATGTCAGCAGCACTATCTGACGTTTGTCACATCACACTCAGAGGTCAATACTCAATAGATATATATTGTGCGTTTTCCAATTACAGCACTAGAGCGCATTTTGCGGCATAATGCTCAACGTTGAGTGTTCCAACTACAGCAACGCTTCGCACAATTGAGCACTCTCAAAACGAATGCTCTCGCGTGCTTCTCGCAAACAATACCAACACAGTGACAGAAAATTGACCAGTATTTTTCTTTAAGTTGGCATTTATTGAAATTTTCGTTAGTAAATATTATTTATTGTTGAAAACTTTGTAAGGCTTTCGTTTCATCGTAGATTTTGAAAATAATTAAAGTTATTTCAAACTGCTAAAAAAAAAAAATATTAGTATGGATGGAGGTATAAATAGTTACTTTTTTTATATTCCACATTTAAAATATGAATACAATTTTATTTTAAAATTCGGATCTATAAACAAATTTATTTTACAGGATTATAGTTTAGAAAAAATTGCAATGGTTTTGAAAAAGTATATAATTTTTTTAGAAATCATTAAAAAATATTACTCAAAACGTAAATGATGTAAACTTCTTACATGAAACTAAATATTTTACTGTTAATTTAGCTTGTTAAACCCTTATATTCTTTAAAGGTTTTCTATTATTTCAATACAAAAATGTTAATGAAAAAATTTGATGATTAAAATAAGCGTAAAAAGTTTTGAACCAATTATTATTGTTTACCACATTATTTATAGATTAATGAGGTTGCTAACTCAATTCATAACATTTTTTTTACAACACTGACTTAGCGCACTCTGCTGATGCATTTGAAAACTAATTCACGTTCCAATTAAGCTTCAGCATTATGCGGCATTGTGCGGCACTGAGTCGCATAATGCTCTGTAATTGGAAAACGCACCGTCAATAGCAATATGGTCTGTGCCAGGGCTGCCAAATGTAGGATTTTAATCATACTCCTGTATACGATTTTTTGTCATTTTTATTCATGTACGCTAGACCAAGATCGTACAGAAAATGTACGATTTTTCCAGCAAGTATTATGTTCGGTTGTTTCCCAACAACCTAACGTATTTTTACTTGAATGAAGACCCTTTACCCTTTTTTCATATAAACTCTGTATTTGTGTGCATTGTTACAAAACTTATAATTTTTCTCTTGTAAAGTCTTGTATTGGAATAGTAATAAATCTGGTTTTCTCATCAGTCTCGAGCTCTAAGTGATTATATCCTCTTTTGAGTTGCATATTATCTTTAGTTTTTTTTGTCTTACGCAAGAATGGGTAGTGAAAAAAAAAGAAGAGCGACCTGTGCCAGGTACTCCAAAAAAAGAAATTTGTCAAAAGAGGAGAGCTTTCTGCAACAGAGAGGATAAACACAGAGTACAAAAGAATCGGGAAAAAATAGATTTATTTAAGGACTGGTTAGGGCCCGGTAAAAAACAATTTAAAACCAGGTGCACTGTTTGTGAAGTCGAAATTGTTTCAGAATATGGAGTTTTAAAGTTACACTCTTTAAGACAAAGGCAGCAAGTCATTTTAAATGAAAACTTTCCACTTTTATGTTGTACTATCTTTTCATTTCAAAATTTCCTTGGAATACGATTTTTGTTGTTGTTGGTGTACGATCATGCTTTTTTTTTCATCTGGCAGCCCTGGTCTGTGCTCAGTTAATCTTTTATTATTGTTTTCCAAAACTATTTCTAACTTCTAGTTGACTAGTTGTAGTTTATAATTATTCGTAGGAACTAGGAAGTAACAAGTAGGAATGAGAAATCTGTGATAGTGATTATAATTAAACTAGCTATTGTATAAAACTATTTTACATTATCTCTTATTGTATAGGTATGTCTCTTTGAGTTTGGTATTTGATTTTGTGTCTGGTTGTTAACAGAAATATTTAATGTATATTATCTTTAAGGTAGGCCAGGCATCTGTGACTTTCAAGTTTTACATGGCCTATGTTCAGTGAACATCCGGTGAGCTGAATTCTTTTTATTTATTTTACAAATATATATATAAATAAAAATTATTAAACAGTAAATGTATAGGTTTCTTGTATGCATAGAAAATAATACAAAATTTCTAAATATTTTTTCAATATTTTAGTAGTGTAGTTTGTTAGTAAAAAATTATTAAAATTCAGTTACGGTGGAAAAAATAATTTTTGCTCTCAGCTTTTGCATTATGTGAAAATATTCATAATAAACTATATTTCCACACAAAACATATTGATTTACATAAAAATATAATAATTTACAATAAACTGGTGGGTATTCTTCACAAAGACAACACAGAAGGATAAATATATAAAAGTAATTTTGATCTTTAGTCACCATTATCAAGTATTTAGTTACCCTTTAATTGTATAACATAGAACTAAACTTTTCATGTTAAGTACTGAAGTATATTGACATATTACTGCCGCTCCTTAATGGTTATTGCATACAAATTCATATATATATATTTGTATAGTATACATGAAAGTGTTGGGTTCAACTCCTATATGCTTTATTTAGTTGATCCGCAAAGACGGCTGATCTCAGATTTAAACAATACGCAAAAGACCCCTGGGTGAAAATTTCAACAGACCTTGTCTATTGTTATCAAAATAACTGTGAAAGTAAGGTAATATTATGTGTATACATTTTGCTCACTCGTACATTAATGTAAAGTCCTTTGAATATCACGTAATATGCTCACTGCTGGTATGTTTTATGAAACAATGGCGTATCAAAAACTTAACTATGAGAAACCTTCCGCCTTAAACATTACGGTTTGCATCAATTGACGCTGACATTTTAAATTGGACCTTCATTCAATGAAACAAAGTTTAAATTTCTATGCATCTCAGCCAAAACACGTGAATTCTCGTCACGTGCCAACCGCAACCCGTGTTAAGACGCCAATCTTCTTGTTGCACACGATAGTATACCTAATGGGAAAGAATATACCTTTACGAGTACTAGCTATGGACAGCGATTTTGCGTGGAAACAAGAAAGCGTAGTAAAAACAGCGTATAGAAAATCTAAGCGCAACGATCACCTAACTGTATGAGATGTATATGTATATCTTACCGGAGTATAACACATATTCATTACGACCTATCCTATTACCGAAACCTTAAAATTACCTACCTATACAAAAAAAAATCGGTAAGCCGAGTAATTATGTATTGATTAATTATTATTATTACTATTTATTTCGTAATAGTTATCTAATATATAACAATTTTATAATAATGAAACTCAAAGATTGTTTCAATCACCAAGGGTATTCGAGACGGATAGGAGCATTAAGTTTCTGAATCCGTGGATCTAAAAAAAAAAAAAAAAACATGCACAACAGACAAAAACAATTTAAAAAAATACATTATATATTTTGTAAATAATCTTTGCCTTCCATGTAATCATGGAAACCCCAAAACAGTAGGAACAAAGTGTTTATTTATAATACTTGTTCTTGAACTAAGAAACCATAGCACAAACATTAACTCAAACAAAGGTCGCAACTTGCTGTAATTAATAATGTTTGATAGGTTTCAGCTCCGTTTATATCAGTATTTCCCAACGACCCACGCAATTCTATTGTTAAGGGCTGCTATTCAAAAAGATACTATATCATTTGAAATTGTATTTCACGTTTTTTAAAATAATTATGTTATGAAAATTTACTTACTGTTTTTCATTAACCATTCTCTTGATAAAACCTATTCTTTTAGTGAACAATTCAATTATTTGTAAAAAAAGTGTATGTGTGTCAGCTACGACGCACGATTGGAGTTTACTCCTTACGAACGATAATTATGATATATATCGAATAGAAAAAAAGGGTAAATGAACGCATCTGCTAAAATGATAAGAGAAACAAACATATATCTGTAATTATTCGGATTATTTATATTACTTCAATAAAGCGTATTACATAAAGTATGTTATTTAAAATAAATCTTGATTTCTATACAAAACGGCACGAACGACTTCCATACTTTATAAGCTGTTGTGTTTCCCAGGCTTATAGTTTCGGCTTGTGTCAAATGCACTGTAGAACAAAGATGGCGATAATGTTCTGTGGCTGTCGACCATATTTTCATAATAAAGATGGTAAGAATATATGTTTTTATAATATAAATGTTTGTAGTAGTAATAAAACGTACCTACATCATCTATGCCCATATAGGTTTTTCTTTCTGTGACCAAAGTTACCTTTATAGTAAGAGAAGAATAAGAATGAACAATGTTTTTAGTTTTAATTTCACTGACCATTACTATTGACAAAACTCTATGGCACGCTAGACAATCTACTTTTATTTTTTACATCTGTCAACACTGACAATGTTGTAACGTGGCTGTCAAAACGTGAATTCAAAATAGAAAAGTCTGTGTAATGTATTCCATCTCATTCTTTTACACGTTCAATCCTACAGATATTTGTTTGTCTCTTTCTACATAACGCCTCAACTTTTCGTGTTACACTTGATTTTACTCCTCATAAAATTTCCGTACCGGGCCTTATAACTCAAATCGTTTCTTAAGGAGTAAACTCCAAAAAATCTGTTGAATAGTTTCAGAAGAATTTTATGAAAGGATAAAGTGGGCAATGGCCCAAAAACGTTGGGTATCACTGGTCTATAGCCTACTTTTTATGTTGGAGAACATTGCATAACCAATTATTTATATATATTTTAACATGAATGAAGCTCGAATGTAGACTCTCATCCCTGAGGTTCGATCTCGGGTGTGTCAAATACTTTCTATGTATGTGCGCATCTAACACTCGCTCGTAGGGTGATGGAAAACATCGTGAGGAAATCGGCATGTCTCAAATCCAAAGATCGACGACGTATGAGATATTAGTTTGATCAACTTTTTATTTTATAGATAAAATTAAATAAAATTGATCAAAGAAACGGATCCAATCTGAGGCCAAGACCATAGGGTTGTAACTTGTAACGCAGTGGATTAATTTGATTCTTGTTAGAAAAAAATCTGGTACTTAATCAAATGGCTAATTATATAATTATGATCGTTCTTAATATACAACAATCAACTTACAGAATATAAAAGTAATACTTAATAACCTTACAAAAATAATATAAGAACTAAAATATATTATTAAAAGGAGTCCCTTTAGGCAAGGTTCCGAAGATACTGGCAGCGTTCCCCCTTTGAATAGCTAGACTAATTCTTTATCCGAAGTAGCTGCCAGCTCTTCGGTCTCCTGTAATGTCGACTAACCTATTTGCTATTTCCTTAAAAAGCCTTATAGAGCTAGGACCCCACGGACCAAGGGTCTCGACACCGAATGGGACAAAATCATATTCGGTGCCTGTATTTGCATGATTTAGCTTTTTCAGCCGCTTCATTATGATTGATATCGACTTTCTGTAAGTCCAACACATTTCTACGTGTCATTGATCATGATTTATTAGGCAAGTATCAGCTCTCAGGAAAATATATTAAACCTGCTGAGCTACACCTATGGTGAGCATTTAATATTATTTACAGCATTATAAGTTTCATATTATGATAAAATTTCCTTGAAATCTGATACATATGTTTAACTGTTTATATAAAAAAAATACTATGCTAAGGAAATTGAAAATTTGTTTTAATAAAAAGGATTAGGATTTAATTATGTTGCCAGACTATCATAGATAATATTTTTTGTTGTTTAAAGAGTTATTTTTGAAGGCTATCATGATTATTAGATTTGATAATAAATCCCAGGGTTAATTTGGGTTTTTTTCTCGACATCGAAAAAAAAGGAGACATAATTCGACTTATTTCCTTTTCATCTAGGTCGGATAGTAAAACACTTTACATGTTAGCTATAATTCTTAAATTACACAAACACCTATATTTTCATCATTTTTTTTATAGAACGGGGGGCAAACAAGCAGGAGGCTCACCTGATGTTAAGTGATACCGCCGCCCATGGACACTCTCAATGCCAGAGGGCTCGCGAGTGCGTTGCCGGCCATCATAAACAGTCCGACTAAATAAAAATCTAAAACGACATTATTTACAAGCATACATCGATTAATCTAACCTGTGACCAAAACGGTCACGTGACTTACGTATAAAAAAATAATATTTTAAATAATCGATTTTTTGAGGGATAAATTAATGTCATCATAATGGTTTTTTTTTATGATTATAAGTTTTTTCTTTATAACGCTTTTAGCCATGTTTTGTACTGATTACTCTCGATAACACATTATTTTTCATGCTGTCATATTATAGCCTATACATATATATTAAGTCTATATAAATCCTCCTAAATTGACACAATCCCGACATTCCTACGCGAATCTCGCTCGGGAACGATTCAGTTGCTTTCCACCTGTTGAGTTGCGCGGACCCTTCTCTTGTAAGTAAAATTTACGTGTCTTTTTTAAATAAAATATTAATAATTTAGCTAGCTGTATCTAAGTTTTAATAGCAGATAGTTTATGTTTGGCACCGACTAACAATATTATTCATAATCTATGTGCAAAACGTCCGCTATTCAATTGTTTATCAATAAAATTATTTTATACAACTAAAATTGTGTAGAATTCCGGTTGTTATATTTAATAAAATACTAGCTGATCCGGCAAACGTCGTTTTGCCATGTATATCATTTATAATAAAAAATAGGGGTTGATCGTAGAGGGGTGAAAATTAGGGGTTGTATGTATTTTTTGTATCCAGCCCTGCGATTCTGTAACTCACTTTTCGAACTCACACAGCGGTTTTTGCATCGGCGGTCGCTCTCAAATCCATGGCAATGGCAATGCCATGGCATTCTGAAAAGCTGAGAGCTTGTAGTTTATCAGAATGCCAAATCATTAAATGACTGCTTCACGACTGATTTGAGAGCGACCGCCGATGCGAAAACCGCTGTGTGAGTTCGAAAAGTGAGTTACAGAATCGCAGGGCTGTACCATAAAAAATATTATTTTTTATCTAAATATTAAATATTAATAATTTAGGGTTGGACTACCCTTAAAATTTAGGGGGTGAAAAATAGATGTTGTCCGATTCTCAGACTTCAGAATTTTGTGTGCATATGGGATACCCCATATTCACACAAAATTTCATGAGAATCGGTCAAGCCGTTTCGGAGGAGTTTAACTACAAACACCGCGACACGAAAATTTTATATATTAGATTTCTATAAACAGGTATTATAATCGATAAAAATAATATCTTAGTTAATTATGCACTAGGTAAACGGTAATATATAGTAGTACTCGTAATATTACAAGAACAGCCGAGAGTTTTGATCAAAGTATTTAATTTATGACGTTCATTCAGGTTGATTCGAATAAAAGTTTTGATTATATTGTTCGAGATTTAGAAATAAACAGTTTATAAAAGGGTACGCGATATCAATTTTATGTTAAATATTCAAAATCTTTAGAAAAAATATTCTTCCATTTACAGCATACATTTGTACTTACACGAATAAAATTTCTACTTTCCTCGTCGTTTTTCTAATTATCATGATCTTAAAGGGTCTCGTTATTGAATTGACTGGGCTTCTCTATTAACTATTTATAAGGGAAAACTCAAAACAATATTTCGTATTCATAAGTTGAGACTCAAATAAAAATACATTTTTACAAGTCCTTATTGCGATCTGTTTTGTAAATGTTTCAACGTTTTAAATGGTAAAAAAATTCTATCAATAAGTTCTCAAAAAGTATATATATGTATACTATACAGTATACATATATATTAAGTCTATATAAATCCTCCTAAATTGACACAATCCCGACATTCCTACGCGAATCTCGCTCGGGAACAAACAAATCTTAAAATTTTCCTATTCCTACTTTTTCTGGTTTAATCTGTCTTATATGAAAACATAATTCAGTATTATTAGAACATGACAGGGTGAATGGAAAAAACAAAAGACGAAATCGTTTGATTGTGATTCGAAACTAGAGAAAGCTATCTTTGCCGAACGCTACCGCTTGTTAATCGGTTTAAGGTACTTGAAGCTCGCGAAAGTATCCTTCACGGCAGACTTCCAGCGATTGGACGAGGGGACGTATCGTGACGTAGTTCGTCACGTGTCAATACTTATTGGACTAGACGTACTATTGACCAAACAAACTAAATGCGCCGTCTTTTCATCTTTCGTTTAACTTCTTAACTGTATTTTTATCTGTCTGATAGTAGATAAATTAATGTTTTACTTAAGTTATTTAATCTTACTGTGGATAACAAATATACTTATTCAAAGCATTCACGTTCAAGAAATAAAAAAAAACAAAATTCAAAATAATTTATAATGTACACTATAAAATATGTATAAAATGCTTCTAATTTTACATTTACTGCCAGTTCTTAAATCAAAGGCGTAAAACGGATGAGAAGAACTGGGAATAAACTCTCCGCCACTCTTTTTGCAAGTTTTTTGTTTTAAATGTTACCCTATGCTTTCGAGTGGCAATTAACGGATTTCTTTCTTCAGAAAACGGTAACTTTTGTGAAAATTCAGGGACTAATTAGGTTTTGTTGCAGTGAAAATGATGGGCGGAAACGTAATGTGGTTTCGTCATGGGCTACGGCTTCACGACAACCCGGCTCTGCGTCGAGCCTTGCAAGACCGAAGAACGCCGTTTTTTCCCATCTTTGTGTTTGATGGGGAAACTGCTGGTTAGTATAAAATAATAGACCAAAAATTAAAAATTTTCACACTAGAAAATATTGAGTATATTTTAACAGTCTTAATAAAGGGGCTGTTCATTAATAACGTGATGTTTTTTTACAATTTTTTAACCCCTCCTTCCCCCATGGTGATATGTGGTGAGGTTTAAGACTACCCCCCACCAAAAATCACTTGTATTGTTTAGTACCTACAAAGAATAGTCTAATATTATTCTAGAAAATTAAGGACTATGATAAAAATATCTAGACAGAAAGGTTGCAGGTTGTTTTTGACTGGCATAAAAATAATATTAAAGGAATGGTGTAATCATGCTAAAAACATATATTGTATTAGTACATGAACATATTTAATGTACATGACTCCAACTCCGACCTTCTTCAACACTAACATCTGGATAAGCATCTTGCAAGTCAGTTGTTGGCACTGTACTTTGTTGAAGATCAACGTCGGTTTCATCAAGCATCATCATTTTCGCGCACTACGCAGAAAATCTCTCGATCGTTTTTCAGAAATCACGCGTTTGACGAAAAAATAAGTACACGTGATATCTTACTATACCCCCTCCCGTGATATTTCGTGATTTTTGCTTGAAATCGTTTCAGAAGCTGAATAAATTATAGTAAATAATTTTGCCTAGTTGCAATCAAAGATGTATTTCTTTTAAAATATAACATATTTGCATATTACAACAAAAACCACCAAAATTGTGGTTTACAGGTACGAAAGTGGTGGGTTACAACCGTATGCGGTACTTGCTTGAGGCTTTAGAAGATCTAGACACCCAGTTCCGTAAGTATGGCGGGCGACTGCACATGATCAAGGGAAAACCAGTTGATGTGTTTAGACGTCTTTGGGAGGAGTTGGGTGAGTGCTAGTTGATTTTATATAGTTTGACAATATATGCATAGGTATGTTCGCCTAGATCAAAAGCAGTAATAATAATCTCTATGATTACAATAATATGTACATGGACGACATTAGACGACTCATTGGTCTAGTGGTTAGTACCCCTGACTGCGAATCCATGGGTCCCGGGTTCGATCCCCGGCTGAGACGAACATCGATGTGATGAGCATTTGGTGTTGTGCTTAGGTCTTACATGGGACAATAAGAGTAACATATCCAACAATAAAAAAGAAGAGGGTTTAATATGTAATAAATACGCAACTCTAATTATTGCTACCATCAATTTTTTCAGAAGCCCTAGTTTTAGCTCTCTTCATCAGACTCTTAATAAAATCAATCCCATCCCTCTAGTTATAAGTATTCGTTTGTTTAACCCTTAACCCTTCTCTATAGAAAACTAAAATCTTGGAAGAGTCTGTGGTGAAATTTTGTTCTAGAAACTTCTTTGATTAACGCCATTTTGTTTTATAAAAAAAAAATCTGTGGCGCTACTACCTCTTTAGGTCTTTTTCTATTTCTGAATCTGTTTCATGATCATTTTTAAATCTAATGGGCAAGTAGGTGATCAGCCTCCAGTGCCTGACACACGCCGTCGACTTTTTGGGTTTAAGACATGTCGGTTTCCTCTCGAAGTTTTCCTTCACCGTTCGAGCAAATGTTAAATGCGCAAATAGAAAGAAAGTCCATTGGTGCACAGCCGGTGATCGAACCTACGACCTCAGATATGAGAGTCGCACGCTGAAGCCACTAGGCTAACACTGCTCTAATTTTCATTTTCATTTTGTTCTAAACTCATCTAAAATCTATAAAGTAATGCACGCTTGCAATCGTAAATCGTAATCCATATTCACTAATAATATTATTGAACGATATGCAATATACGTTCAACAAGACCCAGTGAATAATAATCCCTTTTACTAAAACGTGAATATGAATCGGCCCATTTCGATCACGTTTAAGCCGTCATTAACACAGCTAATAAATAGCTTTGTTGTGGGACGATAATGTACTTTCATAGCCGTACGAGTATTGTGCTGACATTTCGGTTAATCTGAGACCTAATTTCATCTGTAATTAGGTCGCGGTTCAGTCGATAATCGATATGTTTAATGTATGTGAACTGTGTATTTGTATTAACATTTTTTACACAGTAAATGGTACAATTTAAATGAAATAAATAATTTGCGTAATTAGATCAGGCAACACAATCAAGATGATCCAAATGTTAATGTACTTGAAATATATTTTGGAAATGCAATTGAGACTTTTCCGACTGTTGAGAACCGTATTTCAAGAGAATTCCATTAAAATAAGACAAAGTCTTTAAACCACATACACATAGGCAGCATGAATCGTAACCGCCAATCAGGAATTTTTTATATAATAAAGTCCGTTTATTTACAATCGATGCAATTGCTAACAATATACAATTAAAATGTATTTTTACATATTGTTCTTCATCGTAATTTCCTTCAGTATCGGATCAGAACCCCTCAGCCTCTTCCACCTTTTCAGAACCGTGGTGTCCGTGGTGTCCTTTCTCCGTTCGCCTCCTGCTAACGCTACTATATCTCCTATCCTTTGTCTAGGATGCCTCTTCTTCTTCTCCTTGTTCCTTTCCATATGTTGTCTTTAAAGTCCATCTTTTATCTGTAGATCTTGCTATACCTTGATAATTTTTATATATAAAAAAAATCGAAGGCGCTACAACCTTTATAAGTCTGGGCCTCCGATTGCTGTATCTGTTTCATTTGTTAATCTAATAGACAAGTAGGTGATCAGCCTTCTGTGCCTGACGCACACCGTCTTTTCGGGTCTAAGGCAAGCCGGTTTCCTCACGATGTTTTCCTTCACCGTTCGAGCGAATGTTAAATGCGCACATAGAAAGTCCATTGGTGCACGGCTGGGGATCGAACCTACGACCTCAGGGATGAGAGTCGCACGCTGTAGCCACTAGGATAATACTGCTCACACACAAATTTTATATATAAATTGTAGTGTAAAATGTATTCCTTGCCCGAGGAAGCTTATACATCGAAAACAAGCCTACTAGAGGGGAAATCAACTTTGCCTCGTAAATTACTAAATTTTTTAAAGACTTTTCCTTGGATCCGTTGGACTCCTTTACATACGAACATTACCGATTTCATTGATTCCTTGTTTTAATCCTCCTGGTTATGTGGTACGAATCTCATTGTATTTGAAAATCTTTTTAAACAGGAATAAATAAGCTGTGTTACGAGCAAGATTGCGAACCGATATGGCGTGAGAGAGATGAAAGTGTACGAGCTACTTGCAAGCAGATCGGTGTTGAGTGCCACCATTTTGTGTCGCACACTCTTTGGGACCCTGATACTGTGATACGAGTCAATGGAGGAATCCCACCCCTGACGTATCAGATGTTTTTGGTATGTTTTTAAATGATCATCACAATATAAAAACACCAGTGGTACGGCAACCCTTGGTCTAGGTCTCCAATTTCTTTATATGATTCGTGATTTGCTTTTTCTAATAGGAAAATAGGTAATTAGTTTTCTGTGTCTGACGTGCTGCTTTTGGGTCTATGGCATGCCGGTTTCCTCACGATGTTTTGCTTCACCCTACGAGAGAGTGTCAAATGCGGATGTAGACAGATAAGCACAGGCGGGGCTCAAACTTATGACCTCAGGGATGACAGTCGCAAGCTCAGCCTATAAAAATCATTAATTGTTTTATACATTAGTAATTAAATGTTTTCAATTGTTCCACGTATATCTGGTCCCCACAACACAGAGATGTCCCTATGTGGGGACCAGCGCCTGTATGATTTAATGAGGCATTTAAAAAAAGGGGTGCGTGTACTTATGTACGCGCGTAAGAAGTTATACTTCTTTGGCATTATTAAAAATAGTTTTTGATTGCATGCAAATAATTAATTACAATTAAATAATCAGACTGGAAAAGGAGTCATTATAGTCAATAAAGTTCAGATTACATTTTAAAAATTAAATAAATAAATATTTATTATTATTCTCTTACATTAAGTGTAACATAAATTCTATTATTATTCGAATGTTTTTTTAAATTATGTCCAATGCCGTAGCATTTCCGTGGGCAACTTCATTCTGTTAATTTTGTGTCACGGTGCGTGCGCATCGTAAATTTTGACTCTCATCAATTTTTATAACGCGCATATAGAAGTATAACTTCAAAAATATATATATATATATATATATATATATATATATTAGGTCCTTACATATGAAAGTGGCGTATTTCGTACTGGCCACTTTAATCACGATGTTCTCCTCTTTGAAATTCCAAATTCAAATTTGTACAGTTATTTACTCATGTATTTGTGCTTCTATGACCGTCATTCATTTGTTTTTTTCTTCTGTTTTTTTCTGTTTGCGTCACTCATTTTACAAAATGGAAAACTTAAAGTATCGCATTATTTACGAGTACGAGTTCCGCCGTGGCACTAGTGCTGCGGAAACGACTCGAAGGGTGAATGATGTGTATGGCGGTCATGTTGCAAAAGAAAACACAGTTCGTTTTTGGTTCCAACGTTTTCGTTCTGGATATTTCGACCTGCAGAACAATCCCCGTGGACGGCCTGAGACCCAAGTTGATAATGAAGTATTGAAGGCTATTGTGGAAGCGGATCCATCGCAAACCACGTTCAAGTTAGCTGCAGGCTGCGGTGTTAGTGATGAAACTGTTTTAATTCACTTGAAGCAAATTGGGAAGATTAAAAAGCTTGAAAGATGGGAAGAAGTACCTCACGATTTGACTGAAGCAAACCGGCAAACGCGCGTCGACTGTTGCGTTACATTACTGAACCGGCACAATAATGAAGGTATTTTATACCGAATCATTACCTGTGATGAAAAATGGATTCTTTACGATAATCGGAGGCGCTCAGCGCAATGGTTGGATCCTGGCCAGCCAGCCAAATCCTGCCCCAAGCGAAAATTAACCCCAAAAAGTTACTTGTAAGCGTTTGGTGGACTAGTGCCGGTATTGTTCATTGCAGTTTTCTCAAATCTGGCCAGACTATTACGGCTGATGTCTATTGTCAGCAATTGCAAACCATGATGGAAAAGCTAGCGGCTAAATAACCTAGGCTGGTCAATCGCTCCACGCCACTGCTACTTCACGACAACGCTAGACAACACACTGCACAACAGACGGCTACCAAATTAAAAGAGCTTCAATTGGAATGTCTAAGGGTGAGATCTATAGTGCGCACTTGGACTTTGCTCAGACTTACCTTACGAAAAACTTTGCTTAGTGTACACTAAGGTTAAACTATGATTTCGTATTTATAGACATTTTAACGGTGAGATTAAGCTAAGCCCAAGCTAAGACAGAAAATGTCAAAATACAAATTGATGTTTCATTTCATGCAATACTTTGTTTATTATCCTTTAAAAAAGTTAACAATAACAAATATTTAAAAATCTAAAACGGTACACATATATCTTCAATTTATTGTTATTTATGTATTCATTTATTTTATTATTGCAATAACTAGAAATTCACGAGTAACCATTAGAAAATGTATTAATTATTTAAAGATGACAATAATTTTATTACGTAGAACGGATCGCAATGTTTTGGTTAGGTTATAGTTTGAATTTCGTTGTCACTATAATATGCCAATTGCCAGGGCTGCCAGGTGACATACAAAATCACACCAGTTATTTTTAAGATTTCTCAAAAATGGGGTTTGAACAATTACATAAATAATATAAATAAACAACAATAAATACCATAATAATGTGTAATTATTTTATTTCATGCATTTCATAGGTATTTATCAAGATCATTTATAATTTCTTTGAATTCAAATTCTATTTTTCCCAAAGTCTATGGAACTCCGATACAAAATGGCAACACCGTGCATTAAAAACCGACAAAAATAAAAAGTCCAGTAAAAGATATGATGGTAAAGCAAATTTTGGGCCATTATTTTTGTTAGGCTTATAGTCAAAGTTTTTGGTAAGTCGTCGATTTCGTGGACTTGAGATTAAGCTAAGCCAACACTAGGGAGAGATTCGTAGTTTGCTCTATAAATACCGACTGTGTCTTAGCTCGATAGTTAAGTCAGAGCAAAGTCTAAGTGCGCACTATAGATCTCACCCTTAGACATCCTCCGTACTCCCCGGACCTTGCTCCAACAGATTACCATTTTTTTCGAAATTTGGACAACTTCTTGCAAGGGAAAAAATTTAACTCTGATGGGGCAGTCCAAATCGCCTTCACAGATTTTATTGATTCCCGTCCGACTGTTTTTTTTAGTAAAGGGATCAATGAACTACCCATGAAATGGCAAAAGTGCATAGAAAACAATGGTTCATACTTTGATTAATTAAATATATTATATTTAAAAATATTCGACTTTTTGTTCCAAAACGCCAATTTCATATGTAAGGACCTAATATATATATTTTAATTTACTGTGGCCAGCATTTACAATACAATGTTTACTTTCGTTAAGCAAAGTCGCCATATTCCTACTAAATTTTAAATACGAAATTTACATAGTCTAAATCTTTATTGGTAAGTTGCAGAATCGTATCGTTTTTAACAACTGTGATTAATTATGTTCTGTTTGATTCCAGTAACATTAAAAACACGTTAGAAGTTATACTTCTTTGGCGTAACAAGATAAAAATCTTTTCAAAAAATTTATTCTACTTATGTAGAAAAAAATTTTTTTTGACTATAGCTAACTTCAGGGTGTCGGTTTTATGTGACGGTGTGCGCGCGCATTGTAAAAATTTACTCTCATAATTTTTCCCTAACGCGCCTAAAGAAGTAAAACTTTAAAAGTATAGTAAGTAAGTATACTGACCGGTTTAATCGGGTCGTAGGTAGAAATTCGTAAAAGGTGTTTCAATTAGAACATTGTTATGTTCTCTTCTTATCTTGGATTTTCAGATGACCAAATGCGACAAATTCACTTGACTTAAATGTCAAAATTCGTCATTAACCACACACAGTTTTGACAAATGGTTAGGTATTAAACAGTTTGACGAAAGATTTCGTGTTTTATCATTTTTAAAGACCCTTTATTAAAGATTATCTAGAACGAATTGTCGTTTCGATTTTGTGAACATTAAGACACATTTATTGAATGCCTTTCTAGCACACGGTAACAATAATTGGCGACCCTCCTCGGCCGGTGGATGACGTGGATCTCAGAGTGACCAACTTTGGTGTGCTGCCTGACTGCTTTTATAAGGAATTTGTAGTTTTTGAGAAGGTAGGACAATTTACTAAACGCTTCTTAAGCTGTTCATACATACGCCTTGGTTTTTTCAAAGCTGTGCTTAAAATATGTTTGACGTTTAAAAAATGGTGCACACGACGAGTAGATATAGTTAGTAATAATTAAGATATTCCATTTTTAAATTTATTATCTACTAATTTTCATTTTCTACTGTGCATTAACTGCGAGGTATTATAACTTGAAGCACTGTTTTAGCTTCAGTATTAAGTAAATAATTATGTATAAAGAATTATAATACACTCTTCAGCTTGTATCATCTTTACTACTCTTTTCCAATCTACTAAATTTCATTTTCTACTGGGCATGAACTGCGAGGTATTTGTAAATTTTTAAATAACTCATGACTTCAGAACTAAGTACATTTGTATAAAGAATTGTAATAAACTCTTCCATTTGTCTCATCCCTGCTACTCTTTTCCAACTTTATTTCACCGTCTCAGGTTTCTGGTAGGCGTCTCTATAATAATAATAATCCATCTTTACAGTAGAGTGAAATATTTATATTTTTTTTCCCATGAACCTCGTATAGGCCTCCTGCAACTGGCTTGGTTTCTCTCTATCTTGGGCATTGCTCTTCCACCAACTTCTTTAAGCTCGTCAACTCACCGTGCAAGAGGGCGACCCCTCTTTCTTATCCCTAGTGCTCTTTTCCACCTTGTCACCCTGTTTGTCCATCTGCCACTGTTCATGCGAGCGGTGTGGCCCGCCCACTCTCTATAATAAACAGAAAAACGCTATTTAAATATTCCAGACGCCGAAACCCGAAGATTTTGGTGTGTTTTTGGAGAATGACGACATAAGAATGATTCGATGGGTAGGCGGTGAGCGAGCTGCCTTAGCAAAGATGCAGCAGAGATTGGCTGTGGAACATGATTCATTCTGCAAGTGAGTGAAAATATTATTAATTCGCTGTAACATTAATGATTTATTACAAACACTCAAATATACAGTATTTACAATAGTCTTACCACGAGAATGTTAGTTCGTGCTCCTATTTCACCATGCCTCCTGCTGATAGAGGACAAGTATTTGTTTTTAATTTATTTTATTATTATTAATTACTTAAGATGTCACGTGAAACATGGTGTAATGTTTGCAGCTCCTTTCAAACGTTGTGTAAAAAAAAACATGGCGATTAAAAAGAGTGGCGGAGAGTTTATTGCCAGTTCTTCTCTTCGGTTCTACGCCCTTAATTTGAGAACTGGCACTAAATGTAAAGTTAGAAGCCTTTCATATACATTTCTTTTTTGATGTTCATAAGTGAACATTGTTACCTATATGATTAAATGATTTTTGATAATAATAACATTAATAAAACATCATAACATTATTGTAACCTACATCATTATTGTAACCTACTGCAGTTTTTTCGCACCGCCACTTTGCAGAACCAGCTGCCCACTGAAATATTTCCAAACCAATTCGACTATGTAAAGAGTGTACCAATTCTTAAAAGGTCGGCAACCCCTGGCAATGTGAGGTTCTATTGGCGGCGGTATCACTAAACATCAGATGAGCCTCCTGCCTCCTCTTATATGACAATGACTCCTTTATATCAACGTATACAAAGATTATTGTAATCTTTGATCTTTAATTAACCATTAATCATTTCAGGGGTTCCTATCTTCCAACTCACGGCAATCCTGACTTGCTGGGTCCACCGATATCACTAAGTCCTGCGCTCCGGTTCGGATGTCTGTCCGTCAGGAAGTACGTAAAATAAATTAACTTAACATCTAATATATCTATATATAAATATTAAACTTTAACCATTAAAATTATATTTTACCCTTGTATTTTCTATCTTCCTGTATGGCGCAGAAATTTGAACTTTTGAAATGTGGACTGTGACTTTTGAATGGTGGATTTTGAACCATTGTTCCTTACCAAGCTCCATATTAAAAACCACCCAACTATATGTCGACAACGCATTATTTCGTACTTTGGTCACAATGTATAGGGGTGACGAGGACCTCGGCAACACCGGCAAAAGATCTCGTGAACGTTCTCCAACGAGACTGATGGACTGATCTACTCAAGGACTTGTCCACAATATACGAGAGAAGAGCGGGACTGAAATTGGTGTAGGTTTTTCGCACTAGATCTTGCTAGACAGACCATGATACTCTGATATGAGTTACCGACCCAGAGAAAGAACCATTACAATACAACGCGCTTAAGTTTTCCATACAAAAATATATCTTTTCTAGTACTGCCTTCGTCACTAAACTTCTAACTGATCTGAAATTATCGTGATACATGCGCTCTTTTTCATGTGTCCTTTTCACTGTTTATTTATTTTGAATTCCTACTGCTAACATAAGATGGAATACATAATATATACAAAAAGGTTCAAATATTTACGAAAGGAAAAAATCAATAAAAATGATTAAACACGTAATACCTAATTCGGCTGTGCTGTGTGATGGTGGGTGTTTATGTATAATCTATATTATATCTATGGATATTCTTAATACTAATTTTAAGCATATTTCGCGATAGCTTTAACAAGTCGAGGCTTAAATAGTGGTCGTTGTATGTCGTGCGTGCGTGATACAAAACTGAGTTTGTTCAATTAGTTCCATTAGTTTTGTCTTATGTAGTTTTGCACTTCTTGCGCACACCCCTTATCTAATTCAATTGTTTTTTTCTCTTCTCACAGTGGTTGCCTGGAAGATATCGCTCTAAAGCGATAAGGCCACCAGTTGCTTTTTATTTATTTTGATTGTACTATATTTCTTTATAGCTGTAACGAAGTGTTAATAAATAAATAAAAAATTAAATATAATCTCGACTTTTGGGTCTATGGCAAGTCCGCGATGTTTTCCTTCGACGTACGAGCTAGTGCTTAATGCGCACATAGAAAGTCCCTTCAGTAATAGAAATATGTTTTTAGGTTTTATTGGTCGCTTCAGGATTTGTTCCAAAGCGTGCATCAAGGACGGATGTCAAGCCAGTTTGTCACAGGTATCTTAAGAGTAATTTTAAAAAATTAAACTTCCTTAGATAAGTTAACATTATTAACGTATGTGATATTAGATATATCTCTAAAAATGCGTGGTTTCCTCGAAAACTACTAAACCGATTTTGATAAGTATGTAAGATATTTCTAAAGGGCCTTATTAAGATGATCTTGAAAGCCCTGTATTCTTACCTCGCTTAAATCTTCTTTTAAGAGCTGTCAATTTTTTTTCTATTCGAGTTTTGACATATATTGACCGTGCTCAAGCAGAGATTGTGACTTGAGATAGCCTTTGGAAACCTTATAAAAAGGCCTTATATATTTGTGCTTATACGCACAAGCAAATTCTTCATAAATTCTCAACTGGATATATTCTTATCTAGCTATATACTATGAGTCTAAATAGAGAAAAGACTTAATTTCACACTAAATAGATTTAAATATTTTTTTAAAGTATTGTCTTTAGAGTAATGTTTAGATTTTGGTTTAAGCACGACTCCCGACTGTCCAATATGTATATGTTTTTGACATATGCAAGTCATACTGTTAAGTCTCGCCTGTATCTCTATATAATATGTTTAAAGGAAAATGTAAAACGAAATATTGCATATTCATAGGTCAGCTGATTTGGCGGGAGTACTTTTACACAATGAGTGTAAATAATCCGAAATACGCGCAAATGGAAGGAAATTCCATCTGCCTTAATATTCCTTGGAGGGAACCTCATGGAGATGAGCTGCAAAGGTAACTTACGAAGACTTGCTTGCAGTATGACGCAATATAATAATAAGTTTTTTTAACTTCGATTTTGTTCCCTTTGGAGTACATGGAGTACCGTGGGGTTCAAGGGCACAGGCGTTAATTAAAGATTTAAGTTGGCGTCTGGTAGATAGTGCCGGTGACCCCAGAGTTAAAGGTTAGAGGTACACTGCCATAGGGACCAAACTTTTTAAATTTGTTTTAATTTTCTGTTTATTCATTTTTAATTATTATGATTACTATGTAAGGGAGCGTTCAAGTATAACGTCACGCAAGTTTTTGGAGATGATTGGACCCCACCCCCCGAGTAACGCGCCGTAACGTTTTTCTGTACCCAATAGTAAAACGTTTCGTGAACACCTAATTCGTTACGTAATACTTGAACGCAGGGAGAAAGTTAAGAAAATGGTAAACACTGTATATTTTTGTGCAACTAGTTCTTGTATATGTTAATAAATATAATATTTTAAGTCTGTATATATACAAAAGAACTTTGCTAAGTCGAAAACGTTCAATATTCGAAATAAATAATTAATAATAAATAATCAGTGAGTCAAGCAATCCGTTTTATTATATATTTTCCCTCTATTAGACGAAAAATTAAATTGGACTTACTTGTTTATCAGATAAAAATATGATTACGGAACAGATAGAGAAATCTCAGACCAAAAACCTTAGAGTGGCAATAATTTTTTTATACTTATTATTTCTCGTCAAAATACCTTGTAGTATGATTACTGTTTGTGCCAAAATGAATAAATAAAATTAAGAATATGTGGCTTCCAGGTGGGAAGAAGGTCGTACAGGTTTCCCATTCGTGGACGCAGCGATGCGACAGCTCCGTACTGAGGGCTGGCTGCATCACGCACTGCGTAATACGGTGGCCTCGTTCCTCACACGTGGTACTCTTTGGTTATCTTGGGAACATGGCTTGAAACATTTCCTCAAATATCTGCTGGATGCGGACTGGTAAGACAAATATAATTACGCAGAATTACGCTTTCTCAGCAGTGAGAAGAAGAATCTTGAAAAAAAATAAACTTGAATTAATTTACGATACATTGTTATATGTAGAAATAAAACCGTGTGTGTACTTATGTACACGCGTTAGAAGTTATACTTCTTTGGCGTAATAATTTTCTTCGAGCACTTTAGAGGGATGTTTCCTTCTTTGAATTGCATTTTTCTTGTACATTTTAATGGTCACTTCCAATCGAAACGATATAATATTATGTACTAATCATGATATTTTACAATAAACACTATGGTTTTTTATCACATTGGAACGGGTTTTCTCGTAGACATTATTTTGGTTTAAACAAACACGACTCTGAAAAACTCTACGCCATGACAGACAATGTAACTTGTCGATAAAACACAGAAAGCGCCAACAAGCGGCCCAGACTGTTTTACCGACGTTTGAACTGATATTCAGGGTGTCGGTTTTTTGTGACGGTGTCGTAAAAATTTACTCTCCTGATTTTTTCCTAACGCGCCAAAAGAAGTGTAACTTCAAAAAACTGTCTAACAAAAATATATTAATCTTAAAAACTACTACATTAATCTATGTCGGTTAGATATTGTATATTTTTATTGCAGGTCAGTGTGCGCTGGTAACTGGATGTGGGTGTCATCGAGTGCCTTTGAAGCCTTGTTGGATTCGGGCGAGTGCGCGTGCCCTGTGAGGCTTGGACAACGGCTGGAACCGAGCGGACAGTACGTGAGGCGATACATACCGGAACTGACAAATATTCCGGATAAATATATGTGAGTACGCTATATGTCGTATACGGACTAGTTTCGGTTCAATTTTTAATCCTTTGAACAGTAATAATAATTGTGACACTATAGAAATATAAGTTACTAGCTGTGCTCTGCGGTTCTTGCATGGATTCGGTTGGAGCACGATGTTTTACTAAAGCTTTTCTCAGTAAAAATACATTAAAATGCAAAAAGATTTTTATGTTAGACATATGGTATCGCGGAGATTTTTGTTGTTATTGAGGTCTTCTACAAAACTGTTCAGCAGGGATAATGAAGGGGCTTATGGTCTAACTAAAATATCTAATGCTGAAAGAAATCATTTTTAAATTAGTCCTGTAGTTTTAGAGCCTAATCAATGCCAAAAAATAATTAAACATTAAATACCCTTTAAATATTAATACCTTAACAATATTAAATCGATTTTATTAATTTTAGTTATGAGCCATGGAAAGCCCCAATAGACGTACAGCAGCGTGCGGGATGTATAATAGGTCGGGACTACCCTTCTCCCATAATAGATCATCTTGAAGCTGCTGAAAGAAACCAAAGTGCTATGCGGGTAAGACAATAATAATATAAATCCTAAATTGGCTTGAATGTATGTCATCGAACTATTAAACAAAGCGCCATCTAGTAGTTTGCATGAGTAAAAAAAATTTTGCCATGTCAAAATTCTAATTTTTTAATCGAAAACTAATATAGTTTCCTTACACTGTTTTAATTAAAAACTCAAATGTTTTGATTATACGGTAAAATAAAATGTTACTATAACCGAATTATTTATAATATATCGAATTTATTTTAGGAATTGCGCCTTATGCTTGACAAAGCTCAGCCTCATTGCTGTCCCTCATCAGAGGAAGAAATCAGACAATTCATGTGGCTCCAAGATGTACCGCAGCTCGATGTCTCCACATAAATATGACCAAAGATAACTTATGTGATAATTCTCCTTTATAAAATAATGCTTCTTAAATGTCTAGTACTCTTGAATGTCTAAGATAGTTTAATTAAAATTTAATTTAGTAGCTAATTAAAATTGCTGATACTATTTGTGTCATACTTGACTAAAATAAAGTGGTAAATGGTACCCTGGTCATAATAAGCATTCCTATGAATGAATGGTCATAATAATCTCAACCATTGTATTTTCATAACTAAATTACTATCCAGGTTTATTTAAAAATTATTTAAGACTTTAGCATATTTTACTTTACTTAAGCTAAAACCATATTTAATATTGGGTAGATGTAGTAAAATTTACACACACATCAGTAGTTTAATATAATTCTTATTAGTTTAAATGCTAAAATAGTTTTATATTAGCATATGAATGTATTTTTAATATTATATTAAAGATTAGATGTTTGGAAATTTATATCATAATTCCACTATTAAAACATATATTTAATTACAATAATTAAATAAGAGCATATAGGATTTATACAAGTGCTCTATATTTTGAATTTGTATCGTAAAAGTTTATTGCCAAAAGCTGAAATGTGATTTTATGTAATTTTACACCAAAAACTAGATATAATATATATATATAACAGGTATATTAAAACTTTTATTAAAATTTGTAAAACATTTATATTTTATCAGCTATGTATATTTTGATGATGTTATTGATGTTTGAATGGTGAAATAAAAATATATTGATGTAACAGTGTTTATTTTTAACAATTTTGGAATGATTATATACATTACGTGCTGTAGTCAATAGTTTTTGGTTTGCCTGAAGAGTGTGATATTTTCTTACATTCAAACAAAATGTATTCGAGAAAATAAAAATCTTAAGATATATTAAATTTACTGTTCTTATATGATAAACACACAATATATACAATTTCTAGTATGCAATATTGGCAAACAAAACTTAGCGTCAGACATTTTATAATCCATTAGTAAGCAATCCCCCTAAACTATCAACTATGTGTCCAAAAACTTTGCTTGTAGATGAATCAGGTATTTCTTTGAATGCTGACAGTCCCTGGCCAGCTAATTGCCCCACTCTGGGGTCAATGGGCAAAGTACCCAAGAAGGGAAGTTTGGCTAATTCAGCTAAGGAGTGACCCCCTCCACTCGAAAATATATTTGTGCAATGACTGCATGTTGGGCATTCATAACTGAAATAATAAAGCAAGTTATTACCACTACACCTAAAATGATTTTCATCTATATGGTGTTGTAACTGTATATTATGTTGTATTACATTTTAGGTTCATAGGCACACAGGGCCAAAGACTCAACTTAAAAATATAAATGAATATATGCCCTACTCCATTGGGGCTGTATGTAACTTTAGACAAAAATTAAGTTTCCTATGGTTTTTCATAAAAATATTTTTTATAGATTTTGCTCTGTGATCTCAACAGAGCAATAAAAGGATTATCTTACCCACTCATATTCTCAATAATACCCATAATAGGTATCCCAGTTTTTCTACAAAATGTAATCTCTTTTCTAACATCTTCAATAGCCACCTCCTGCGGAGTGGTTACAAGAATTGCTGAGCAATGTTTCACTGGACGAAGATTTTCCATCACTGTAATGTGTTCATCAGATGTTCCTGAAATTAGTCAATATATATAATAACAGAATTTTTATGAATTAAGCTTTTAATTATAATATTCTTTGCTTTATGGTAATAAATAAGAATCTTTTTTTGAAGTTATACTTCTTTAGGCGCGTTATGAAAAATTGATGAGAGTGAAATTTAACGACGCGCGCGCACCTGAGTCACAAAGTTGTCAGTGTGATTATAGCGTGCGCGAGCGAGATGGGAATAAGACAATCTACAAGTAAAAAGAAATAGAATATGTGTGAAGTTAGCAGCTATGCCAAGAATTTTGAATGACCATATCACCATAATGACATTTACCTTTTAAACAAATAAAGGAGTTTTAATTATTTTTTCAAAGAAATTTAGCAATGCTTTTTCACAAATACCTATTGTTACTTAGTTAAAAGGTTATGAAACATACCTAGTTATTAAATTGAATGAATAATATACTAAATATTGAATATTATTAAATTATTAACGTTAAATATTTATTATTAATTATTTAAAAAAAATAAAGAAAGCCAAAGAAGTATAACTTCTTACGCGCGTACATTACTTATGTACGCACCCTTTTTTTTTTTAAGTTATTGACAACATATGTAATAACCTGTCAAAAGATTATATCAGATTATAGAACAATAAAAGGTTCACAGTGGTGAAATTTCTCAAAGTAGAAACTAGTTTAAATTAATGTATAAGTTAACCAATATGCATTGATTTCATTGAAAAGTTAACGAAGAACTTTACCTGGAGGTGTATCAATAACTAAAAAGTCCAAATCCTGCCAACACACATCTTCCAAAAACTGCTTAATCATTGAGGACTTTTTAGGTCCTCTCCAGACCACAGCATCATTTCTGGAGTTCAACAGAAACCCAATAGACATAACTCCTAGCCTTTGTTCAGAATCTAAGTAGACGGGGATCCATCCTTCTGGCCCTTGATGAATATTTTTACATTCTAAGTTTAGAATGTAAGGTACACTCGGCCCACACAGGTCTATATCTAACAAACCCACCTGAAATATTTAAAAGTTTCTTTGAGAATAATAAAAACAAGTGGCAAATCAATTAAACTTTTTTTAACCTTAAATCCTTTTTCTTTAAGTGTTAGTGCCAATTGAGTGCTTACAGTAGATTTTCCAACACCTCCCTTACCAGATAATACTAAAATTACTTGTTTAACTTGTTCTAACATATTTATTTAGTCAATTAATTAATCAAAACAAACAAAATGTAAAGTTTCCAATTTCTATTATAAAGTTTATTTTCATCTTTTTAAATCACTGATAAATAATTAATGAATAATGATTTAATGGGGTGACCACTTCAAGTTTACGAAATTTTAAAAGTTTTTCGATTTTTAATACCAATCAGGGCTGCCAGGTGAAAAAAACGCATGATCGTACACCAACTATTAAAAAATCGTACACCAAGGAAATTTTGAAACGAAAAGATCGTACAACAAAAAAGTGGAAAGTTTTTATTTAAAATAAGTAGCTGCCTTTGCCTTGAAGAGTGTTACTTTAAAACTCCATATTCTGAAACTATTTCGACGTCACACACAGTCCACCTGGCTTTAAATTGGTTTTTACCGGGCCCTAACCGGTCCGTAAATGAATCAAATTTTTCCCGATCGGGACGTTACTTCTGTGCTCTGTGTTTGTTCCTCAATGACCTGTGTTGTAGAAAGCTCTCCTCTTTTGGCTAATTTCTTTTTTGGAGTACCTGGCGCAGGTCGGTCTTCTTCATTTTCACTACCCATTCTTGCTTAAGCGTATAGCACAAAAACCCCTAAAGACAATATGCAGATCAAAAGAGGATAGTATAATCACTTAGAGCTAGAGACTGATGAGAAAAACAGGTTTTTGACTATTCCAATACAGGTATTTACAAGAGAAAAATAATAAGTTTTGTTACAATGCACACAAATATAGACTTCATATAAAAAAAGGGTCTTTAGACGTAAAAGGTCTAAGCATACGTTAGGTTGTTGGGGAAATCCCCAAACATAATACTTGCCGGTGGAGTATATATTCGTTTCATTACGAAATGTTGCCAGGTACAGAATAATCGTACATTTTATGTACGATCTTGGTCTAGCGATCGTACATGAGTAAAAATGACAAAAAATCGTACAAGTACGATTTAAATCGTACATCTGGCAGCCCTGATACCAATACTTGACCTTAGAATTCTCATAGTGCACGTTATTTGTGACAACTTGACTGAAATTTTCTCATAAAATATAATGAAAGTTGTATTTACTATTAGTTTAATAAAATCCTATAAATTAAGCCTTTCAAATTGATTCTGGAATATTTAAGGTTTCCTCAATAACTAGCAAGTTGTTCTATATGACAATACTCACTATAAAGATAATGTTGCCACAATATTTTAGTTTCTTAATAGTTTTTGGGTAATAAATATCCGACAAATATTTCAATATAATATAAAGTGTTGTAAAGTATATTGCTATGTATGGATATAATAATATTCTGAATACAGTATTACATTTATACGTAGTACATAGTTTGAGGCAACACTGAGTTTTGATAAAAGACAGATATCAGTGGCGCCGCCTTCGGCCTTACGAGTTACGACTTGTTTTATTTTTCAGTTTTCTAGAGATTCTTTGAGTTGTGGCTGTACGGATTGTGTGCGGATTATTTGTATTAGAGATGCTATATTTCTCCTATTTTATTACTGATTATTGGACGTTTTGTGACACAAATAGTTTTTGATATATATTACACAGTTTTTTTTTCTTTATTGAAAGTAGTGTTTTGCGTATATCAGTGCTTTTATTTGCGTAGAATCTTGAGTGGTTGTGTATGGTGGTCGCCTGTTCAAGATTTTGTGCTTCAGTCAGCTTTATATAAATTCAAGGTAAGCGTTATATTGTATCTCTAAAACTATGTATTAATTGTGAAGTCCGGTTTTAATTGAATTCTCTGTTAAACATGCGGGTGCTTCTCCAATTCTTCGTAGTTACGAGACGGCTGACGGCCCACCCCTACGGGAATTCGAGAAATTTAATTTTGAATTTATAAGACTACGAAATCAATATTTTCAGTAACTATTGCTGTGGCATATTTGACAAAATGAACCTAAGCTTTTAATTTGACCAAAGGCATATATTTTAAGAAGGGGTTTTATCTTCTTTTAATAAATTTAAAATTTAAATCCTAATATATAATGAGAATTACAGATTACATATTTTATTATTAGTAATTTTTTAATGTCAAAATACAACATATATATCAAAGGCAAATTAATTTTAAACTGTAAATAATATAAATACTTCTATGTTTCTTCCATAGTAGCTTAGTATAACTTAAATGTTTAAAAAAATCTTTTGTTATTGTTCTACAATATTTGGTTCTATAATATTACTGAGGGGGATCATCAGAGTCTAAAAAACAAATGATAGGTGGTGAGAAAACCTTTGATAAGATCCATGACCTGCATAATTTACTTTTCTTATTAGGTTTTTCATAGTGCGGTGACAATTCTGACACATCCATATAAATGTTTATATATGTAAATACTTCCAGATGGAGGCCTGGCTCTACCATGTTTGTAAGAGAAAAACCAATAAAAGTTGCTCGAATAATAAAATAATTGGTTAAATGTCCTTAGATTAGATTTTTCATTAATCTTAAGCTATTAACCTAAAGTCTTTCAAGTACAGAAAATACATACTTATGGAGCAACACTGTTATAATTTGGAAACCCCTATGTCCTTGGTTTGAAACAATATTTGTATAGAGTCAGAACAGATCACCAATTTTTAACAAAAAAAAACATGATAAGATTTAGAAATTTGCCTACACTTGTCCTGTAACAGATTAGCTATACGAGGCTTTAAACAATGAAAAAATTGAATTAAATATTTCATTACGACGTACTCGGTTGATTCAAATACTTCGTTTTCGACCGATACACGAGGAGTCATTTATTTCCCCTAAGACAAGTGAAATAGTTCGAAACCGAATCCCCTTCGTGGCTACATCCTTATAACTTGGCTATAAATCAGGGCGCCGTAGCTATCAGCTATTATTGGTACATCCAGTTGAGATTAGTCACACCACACAAGCAAGGAAACCAGCTTAGGCCTGGATGAGTGATTTATAATTTCAATTGAACAGTGCTATTTAAACCTTCATTCACTGCTATTAAATTCGATTAGAATTTATGTAAAATGATTTTATTGTAAAAAATCTAATATGTTCTCACAATAAATACGCGTAAATGTTAACCTAAATCATTATTTTACTATCATTCAATGTTAAAGTAAGTAAATATATATATAGTTATGTTTAAAACATAACAAACAGTTTTTTTAATTATTTATAAAACTGGTGTTAGGTAAAATCTGTTAAAATAATTAACTGTTGGAATCGAGCTTTCGTCAACTGTCATTTTCATACAAAGGTCTATCCACAGACACCGATACGACCTCCCATGGATAGCTTGTATCGACAGATGGCTATAATTACAATCCGACGATTGGTTATTGGCCAAAATTTGGATTAAGACTACTATCTCAGATGGTGGATTATGGATTGAAATAGGTTATTGGGTTCGGGCGTAAATTAAACGCGTGTTCCAGGTGTTTGAAAGCTTGCGAGCGATTTCCACCCCTCAATACAGTATCTCCCCCGCTCTAATGGTTCTAGCAATTTTATCCGCGGGTTAACGTCAGCCTCTTGACCCCTTACACAATATATAATGCCAGAAAAGTTTTGGCAGCCAAACGGAATTAATTTTTTTTAACATTAGTAGGTATAAATGCAGCCTTTTAGTTGAAAACCAAAATTTTTATTTTTTGAATTTTAATTAAATGGGAATTCCCCTTGTGATATTTATAATATTAGTCACTCGGTGAATCCACATAAATGTGTTAATTTTTGTATCAGCTTTACAAATCAATAATAAACAAGGTAGAAACGAATGGATACATTAAAGTGTAAAAGGACTGATTTAATTTTCGATAAAGAGATAGCTATGATGAGCTAAAAATTAATGAAACCCAACGGAAGTTCGCAGATCTGTATCCAAAATAGTATTTTTTAAATTTATAATAAAAATAATTTAAAAATCATAACAGCGTATCCAATGAATACTAAAATCTAACACAAATTATAATTAGGCTATTGATTAGAAGCGTAAGGTATTTCTCCTAATGAGTTCTTCGTTTATTATAGTCTCGGGGGTCCCAAAGAAATTACTTTCCGACTCAATTTAGCTGTTTATTTGATGTTTCTATCAGAGCGAGCAATTTTGTTATGCTCAATAAAACTGGAACTAAATGCGCTGTTTCATAACAAATAATTTTATGCGCAAAATTACTTCGACGTGAAAAAATGATCAAAGTATGACAGCTAAGTTAATTCCAAAGATACTTAATACATAAATACGTATATTGTCTAGTTCGTGTTTATTGAAAACATTTTTCTTATTACTAGCTACAACGATATATGAATTTTACGTTAGAACTTCTATTTGATTCTAGAATACTTGCTGGCTTCACTCTGTTTTTAAAAGCTGGGTCTCTAGGGCTTATTCCACCTTACAAGACGGAGTGAGGAATCCAATTAACTCCCTCGATGAATGTTCCCGATTTGTCGTGATAATGTTTGAAGATTGAAGTTGGAATGTCTGCATGAGTGACCGCGGAAATTGGAGACTTGATTTCCGGAATTCAGGATTTCATGTTAAAAATCTTTTGTGTTTTGAAATAAATTATACACACAACTATGGATTAAATACATAAAAATAGTATGACTGAACAAGTGCTGATTTTCGTAGAATTTAATTAACCTTTACAAGAGCTAAGTACCTAATAGACAAGGACATATTTTCAAAATGTGAAATATAATTTTAACTAATTACTAATTAACTTAAACGATTACATATACGGTTTTACGGTTCATTAATTATTTAAAGACTTATGCGTAATTCATATAAAAATATCGAAGTCTTGCACCTTGACACAAAATAAAATGTCAATGCTATTTTGACCTCTAAGCTAGAATGTATCGTTTGGTCTATGTTTTTAAGTCTAGTAACTTCATATGCACATAATTATGTTACATCTGCCATCTAGTTCAATAAAAATGGCTTCCCCTTTAGATGAAACAAGTAAATCTATGTGTACAATTCATTCGTAGAAATAGTTTCGATATTTTTATA